GTAGCGCCCTCAGGCTCAATGTGAGTAACGAAATTACACTTCTCACATTCGGGTCTCAGGTTTTGCTCTGATAGGATTCAACTTAGAGTCAAGCCTCGGTGCGTTGCGGCGTCCATACTGCCGTGCTGAGGAAAAACGCCGTATGAACAATATGAGCATTTGGGAGTTGCCAAATTTCCCCGGATGAAACAAGTGTTTTTGAGGAAACTGCTGGAATGATTAATAATGATTTTATAACTTAGGGCACGTTCATCTTTCTGAGATAACTTCACGCTTGACCATGCATTTTTAAGTTGCCGAGCCAACTCGGACTTATAACTAAAACTACTTGGGTTAATTATCTGGACGAGGAACAAGGCGCATCCATCTATGGCGAAGAGACTTTAACGAAAGGTTAGGAAAGTAAACCACGTTTTTCCTGCGCACAGCGGTTTCCCTTTGTAGTTACGTCGAGTTTTAATTATCAGGGTTTTTTTCCCCTCCCCTGCTGATCAAAACGTATGCAAACATGATTCTATTTTTTTTTATTACACTTACTGTTAATAGTTAATGACAGTTATAACTATTTTCCAGTGAGCAGATGTGTTTTGTGAGCAAGAAAAAAAAAAACCCTGATGATAAAAACTTGGAACCGTTACGGCAAACCGAAGCGCGCGGGGGAAACGGGGTTTACTTTTCTAACCTTTCGTTTAAGTCTCTCCGTCATAGATGGATGCGCACCTTTTCTCAACCTCATAGTATACACTATACACGTCGTAACGTATTTTTAAGGTTGGCTGTGTTAAAGTTCATTTAGCTGCACCAAAGTACCCTCTTTTTGTGCACTCAAAGTACACTCAAAGTGCACTCAAAGTACCCTCTTTCTGTACCCTCCTCGTTGGAACTCTGCTTCCTTCATATTTTCCAGTCTGAAAACGCTATAGGCCCAAGCAATCGTGAATGCATTGAATTTACGGTTGACGCGCGTGCATCCACGCAATCAAACCCTAGACTCCCTTTCGCAGCATCCCGACTCCGGAGAAAGGACCGCAGCGCCACAATTAAATCGGTCGAAGTTGAAACAAAACACGTGAGACACCTAATGAGCCCAGTGCTCTTCAAGGATGTATGTATTCGAGGGCTCATCGGCGAGCGCAATTGCTAGGTTTTAACAAGAACTTGTTCAATTAGACCGCACCGAGAGTAATAAATCGATTTGAATGACGACCGAGGCGCAACGAGCCATTCAAAGTATCCATTCAACGGACGGCTACCGTCATGGCGACCGTTGCCGTCATTTTGAAGAACACCGAATGAGCATTCAAACTTTGCCAAATTATGCGGAAAATCTGAATGCATGGAATGTGGTAAATAATCGTCTGAATAAAAAATTAAAATTGAAGTTCACACCACAAAAAAAAAAAAAAAAAAAAAAAAAAAAAAACTCATTTGAGGCAGTAGGTCTAAATATTCCTAACTAAACATATAATTGGACTTATTTCTGCCAAACGGAACTAAGCGCCAATTTGAGTTCCTTTTGAGGAATTTAGAATACCGGATAGCGCGTTCTGTCAAACGGAACTAAGCGCCATGGAAAAGCATTGCGAGTATAGGAACGAATGAGCCCGACACCCGGTTTCGCCGCCAATCCAAGCCCCCCCCCCTCTACCTTCCTACCCCGATGGCGCTTAGTTCCGTTTGACAGAAATACGTCCAATTAAAAATAGAATTTTCATAGAAAGTTGTTGGTATTTTCTATTCAACTTTCAGAGACTTTATCCAGATCGGAGTTCAATCCTTAGTTTCGAACACTAACTCTCCTTACGGATAAATATTCCATCAGGGGAACTTTGGCAACGTCTGAACGTTTATATGATGTTTGGCCCTAGCACATTCGTGTAACTGTCACTTATAGCGCCGTAAGAACGCCGTAAGAGCACTTAGATGTCGCCAGATCTCCCCGGACAAAATGTTTATTTTCGGAAATTTATGAATCAACCAAAATCTTCATGTACGTATGCCAGGCTAAATCCTGAGGGAGATCTTTCGATAGCAAAATTTCTGAGAAAAATCGTAGTTCCAGATAATTTGAATTTTATCAGAAGAAACGCAGCAACGTTTGAATCTTCGTTTGGCATTTTTCTTGGTGAGCTGGGTGAGTCGTGAATGGGAGCTGGAAATGTCCCAGCGTGACTCCGAGGAAGAGCCGTATATGAAGTTATCATCCGTAGGGTGAGGGGCTTAGGATGAGGAGGAGCGCTAGGAAAACGAGAAATCTTAAATTAAATATTTGAAGAATTGACAAGTGACTGCAAGTTGCAGTGTGTAGCTTCTAGCCATAGAGTACATAGAGTCGTAATGTAAGTGGGAGAGCTGGCGCCATGTTCTGCTCGACGAATTCCGAGCCCGGTGTGCGCCAAGTTCGGGTCGCTTTTTCGATACATTTTCGATCCAAAATGGCGGTGTGAAATACGTGGTAATTCCTATCTCCTTTGTTGTTGTTGTTGTTGTTGTTGTTGTCATCGGATGGCCGGGTACCCGTGTATCGCAAACAATCGATTATGTATCGAAAAAGTGACCCGGCGTCACACAGGAGTCTCGGAATTCGGGACATGGAAAATGCCTAAAAGTGGCGCCAGCTCTCCCACTTACATTACGACTCTATGTACTCTATGCTTCTAGCTACTGTAATGCCGGTAGTTGTAGTTGAATGAAAAGTTGGCACTTTTAATTTGGTTTAATTATCATACAATTTGATAGAATACATTTTGACGAATAGAGTTTCTTAATCTGGGGCGTTTTCTGACTTGAAATGTACAAAAAGCACACTGAAAAACAAGTTAGGGTCATATGGACGTACCGGCCGTTCTACGATTTCGCGGTGCCCCGAAACGATCGATATCCAAAAACTTGATTTGTTCTTGGATAGGATATAACTCATATTGAATGACGCAGCCACTAAATCGGTGTATTGTGAGCAATGAGCTTTCTTGAATGGACTGCAGGGTCCATCAGAAAACGGGCATGTCAGATTTTAAGACCGACCTATATCCAAATGCGATGGACACGACTGACAACGATTAGCATTCATGACCTCGGTCTTACAGCAACCGTTCGCTTCTGCTTGTAATCCTCGGAAAATTTCTAATTTTTTTGTCATTAAGGACATGAGTGTCGACCGTTCCCTCTCCTCTGATCTCAAGGCTTTTCACTAGCGCACCCGCACCGCACCGTCGCATGAATGTTCACTCGAAGAGAGTTCAAGGAGTTCCCCGCAACGTCGGCCACATACTCTGCTTTCTCAATAGCTCATCTCTTTTCCAGGACATCTCAGCGGAGTTGTGCAAAACTCTGGTTCATTCCAAGGAAGAATGCTGTGCGAGCCTTAGAATGTTGCACTGGAAAAAAACACATTGGATCTAGAGTCCAGACTCTTAAAAACATCGACAAGAAAAAGTACTCTTGATTCAATCAGAATCTAGCTTAAATCAAGAACCAAGCCTCTTAATTTTAGCGGATTTCGTTTTGATTCAAGCAAAAATCCGATTGAATCAAGAGTGTTTTTCCTCGTCAATGTTTTCAAGAGTCCGGACTCTAGATCCAATGTGTTTTTTTTTTTTTTTTTTTTTTTTTTTTTTTTTTCCAGTGTGCCAAATTTTCGGCGATGAAATATTCATCTTTGAGAAAAGTCACGGATTTCCCCTTAAATCTTCTGGAGTATTAAAGTCGTATCTCGTCATGACGTCTTTGAATGAAATTCAGAGCTAGAATGTTATTTCCGGTTGAATTTGCATTTATAGTTGCATTCATTTTGAGAAATGCTGTGCCGGAAAACGACTGGCCAGGACGCGAAAAAATGAACGTTTTTCCCGGAAAAACGTTATTAATCGTATTCGATACATCAAACTAATAGTAAATTAAGAAAGTCAAAATAAGAAACAATGCTCGATTGAGTAGTCTGCTAAAGCCGCTGTATAGTGTGCAATTTGACTCACGTGTGGTTTTGTTTTCTTGTGACCGGACAATCCAAAGTTCACTCACGTGTGGTTTTGTTTTCTTGTGACCGGACAATCCAAAGTTCCCGTATCCCAATGGACAATAAAAACCATAATATCTTAGCTAGAAGTTGATTTCAGTAGTTTTCGTTACGCGAATCGTGTTCTGCGTGAAATTCTGATGAAGAATCATGTATCAAGGTGCTTAAATTCGTACCTTGTTTAATGGTCCATTCAATCCAAAAAAGCAAACACACAGAACTTTCTTAACTTTTCTCAGAGGAAACTTTTTATCGGGAGAAACGAGGCAACGTTGGAGTGCTCATACGGAGTCGAAACACAACATGGGCCTATAAAGCCCCATTGTTCGATGCCGCGATTATCCTTACACGAGTTCGAATAATCGCGCCAATCACGGCGGTGCGGTCGGCGTCAAATTCGCATCAGCGCCTGCAAGACTGCGTGAATACTTCATGCATTGCGCCAAACAGTGCGGTCGGCCTTAGCGCCTACTAGACCGCGTGAATACTTCTCCCATTGCACCAAAAGCACAGCGAGAGTATTATTTGCGATAACTAAAGGATAATTATGTATTTTAATTGCAACGATGCAGAAACTCGGACAATATTTAAACGATGCAGCGATTCTGAAACTTGAATCGCATAAAATTAATTTTGTTTTAATATTAAAAAAAAAAATAATAATAATAAATGGGAAAAAAAAACAGAACCAACGAACAAAAATACGTCGAAATTTTTTGTGATTTTATTTTAAATCATTCCAGAAATTTTGAAACTTCTAAAAAACTGTGTGTACCTTTTTTTAGAGGAAAAACTTGGGAACTCTTCAGAAAAACTGTGTGTGTAGTTTTTTTTTAAAGAAAAAACAGTGTTCAAAAATTTTCAACTTTCAAAATTTTCAGGCCAAAATTGTTTATCAATTTTTCTTGTATGCAAGCATTACCGTGAGCGATCCACACATTACAATAAATTCTATATTTTGATCATATTGGAATTTTTTTTTCAGATACACAAATGACACGAAAGACGCCTCCGGCCTACGCGGACGGAGTATACATGATGGCCGGTCAGGATCGGCCGAGCCCTCGGCGCCTGAGTACAATTTTCATGAAAGGGGACGACGGTCTCGCCTCCGCCAAAAACCGCAGCGCCATCCTCGCTTTCTTCGGTAAGTCCCAACACCCCCCCCCCCCCCCCCCCCCCCCCCGCCCCCAGGCCCCATCAGACAATCATCTCACGAGAGACGTAACTTTTGGAAAGTACATTGGAGAAAAAAAGTCTTTTGGATCCGAAGTCCAGACTCTTTCGAAAATTTGACTCTTGAGAAAAAATACTCTAGATTCTATCGGATTTTGCTCGAATCGAGAACCAAGCCTCTTGGTTCGAGCAAAAATCCGATCACATCAAGGGTATTTTTCCTTGAGTCTGGTTTCCGAATCCAAGAGACTTTATTCTAGGAACTCCGGAGGACGAAGTGTCATCCGAAGTTGAAATTTCACCTTTTTGTTGCCTAATAAATTTTGAGTTTTTTCTCTTTCTTTTTTTATAACCGAGCTTCAAATAGCCTAATTGGAGATCTTCTCGCCCTTTACCTTACTCTGTCCACTTCTACTAATTTTTAGCCCCCCTCATCCAAGATTTACTGGAGTGAATCTCTGTGCTGCCAACTTAAGGAGTGACGACCAAATTTTCAAAATCACAATGTCTTCAAAATTCCATTAATCAAGGTACTTAAATGTACTGAACGATTCCGCCACAACAGCTAAATTCTATTCGTAAAAATAGAGAGTTGTAAGAGAGCAGTAAGTCCAAATTATTCTGTGAAGAAGCCGTATCTCCTGACGTTGTGTGCAAATTTGCACCTTTTTCTGTCGTCTTTTAACTATAAAATTAGTTTGTTTTAAGTCAAGAATTTACGAATGCAAGTTTGCAGAAAATAGCACGCACTGCTTTCTTGTCTATTATGGAAAAAATAGGTCATTTTTTTCATAGTAGAAGTTTAAATCTTCAGACTATTTCTGATGAGCACCCAAGAATCGCCTTCAAATTTATGAGTACGCAACATCTTGACAGTTCGATCGAAATGACTCTTCCTCAAGTTATAGAAGTTGATCTTAATCGCACCCAAATAAAAAAGCGGATCAAATAAAAAAAAATGAATGAAATATTATGTAAACATCTCAAATTCATCAACTTCTATGTTACTACATATTAAACTATCTCTGCAAGAAAAATAAGATTGTCAATAAATTTTATGAAAAGATTAATTGTCAGTGTCAAACTATGAAAAATATATGTCAAATAGAAATCAGTTGTAGCTCAATTTTGAACTTAATCTTTCCACCGATATTTTTGGGGTGCATATGTTTGATAATGTTTTAAATCTTTTCAGTTATAAATAATTGTTTAATGCATTTTTTATTTTTATTGACTCTTGAACTTGAAAATGGCAGAATTTTCGAAAGGTCATAGGTAGACTAGAGGAGTGTTTTTTGACCCATGTAATGACTTCAAAATGTATGAGGGTTTGATAATTTAGGGGCATGATGTATTCTGACATAATGTGTTTTGGACGGATGTGCGCTGGTGTGGTGTCTACTAATATGATGTTGATTTTGGCAGGTCAGGTGGTGAGCTCCGAAGTAGTCATGGCCAGTGAGAGTGGTTGTCCAATTGAGGTGCATCGCATTCAAATTGACAAGTGCGATGAGATGTACGATCCAGACTGCGCTGGGGACAAGTCCATTCCCTTCCACCGTGCTGGCTACGACAGCAAGACTGGACAGAGCCCCAACAACCCTCGCCAACAGGTACCTACAATTTCTGCTCTTTACTCTAGCTGCAAAGAGTTCCTCAATTATTTCTGATTTTTATGAGGAAATGTTAAAACAAAGGTCAATATAATCGTTCAATTTTTATAGATTTAAAGGGAAATGCGAACTTTACTTATTGTGCTTCCTTGTTGGATAAATGTTGACATAAAAAGGTCATGAATAGATTAAATAAATGAATAAATTGTTTTCCACTCCTTCCAAAAAAAAAAAATTGAAAACCCCATAAGTTAAAAAATGCATGTGACAAGTTGAATGAGCAGGTAGCACTTCGTAATTGGCATTTGCATTTCCTCCTTTAGCAACCAAAGTACTCCATCAATGTAGGGAGAGTTGAAATTTCTATATGTTTGATTAAAACTAGAATATCCTTTGAAATCATAGATAAACCGAGTGACAAGTTGGATTGACGGAAGTTTCATCTACAGCAATAGTGAGGCATGGGTCAACGCCATGCGCTCTTTCGTCAATGGTTCCTTCAAAACTGATCCAACTGGCAAGTGGCCCGTTCGAAATACCATGCGAGTACCCCTCTTCAACAACCCTGTTCCACATGTACTCCGGACACTTTCTCCGGAACGGCTCTTTTGTAAGTTTTCTTTTGTAGTATTTTTTACTTCACTTCAAAGTTAAAAAATTCAGCCGTAATATTTTCAGAAACGAGGATATATTTTTGACAAAACCAAAAAATTGTACCTATATCCCACCGCATAATGCAACCATCTCTATCTATCAATTGAAAGCTTCTTCAATGCATCCTATATCCCAGAGCCTTCAGCTTTTAAAAATATCGGAGTATGTACCTTTACACACTTCGAAAATTCGTCTGTTATTAAAGGAACCAATTTGCGATTTAAGATATGACTTGAAATCTCTTAATTTTTATGTTTGTGTTTAACTTTATTTTTCTAGTGTTGGGTGATCCTCGAAGTAATCAAAATCCAGCCCTCCTAACTTTCAGTATATTATTTTTTCGTTGGCATAATGTTATTGCCAAGAAAGTGCAGGAAGCCCATCCTGAGTGGTCAGATGAAGAAGTTTTTCAACGAACAAGGAGGATTGTGGTCGCAACTCTCCAGGTATTAGCTTCACACTGCTCTTTATTGTAGTTAGGTGTTCAAGTAGAATAGAGGTGTTAGAATTTTCATTTTTCAAAGATATCTATTTCTAATTATTAGTATCCACTTAATAAACCTTACAATACAATAATTTCATAAGTGCCCCATAATTGATCTAAAACTGTGACAAGAATTTTTCAAAAGTTGCCTTGTTTTGAGGGGTAGTTCCAACAGGGGCCAGTACCTAGCTTAGTTTGTAATGCTCACCATCTAATCATGAAATATCTGCCTGGACGAATGTGCCAAATATTCTCCTTATTTGATTAATTCATGGGTAATGGTCCAATTCATTTTGGACTTATTAAATAAATGAGCCTATTATTACAGGATTTATTAGGTATCTTTTTGCATTCTATGTATCAAAGGTCTTCCTCAGGATTTGATGCTTGAATTGCATAAGGACACTGTGACATCATGATGACACCAAAGTCTTTGAAACTGAGGTGATATTGCTTTTAAAAATGAAAGGGCGTCATGTAAATATTCTAAAAAAACTGGAACAACTGTTCCTTTGTGAAAAATTAAATCTGTGGGGAATATTTGAAAAAATTGCATGCAGTGTATAACTATGACAAATCACATCATGTTTCTTAACAAAATGATAATATTAATTACTTTTCATGTTTCAGAATATCATAGCATATGAATACATCCCAGCCTTCACAGGTCTAGAATTACCAGAATACGAGGGTTACAGTATAGATGTCCATCCGGGCATCAGCCATGTTTTTCAGACTGCTGCTTTTAGGTTTGGACACACACTGATTCCTCCGGGTATTTATCGAAGAGATTCCAAGTGCAATTTCAGAAAAACACCCAAGGGTAAACCAGCACTTCGACTTTGCTCTTTTTGGTGGGACTCAAATGTAAGTTAAAAATTCTTGCATCTCAGAAATAACTCATCTTTCATAGCATTGTGTTGATGTATCCTAGTTTTATAATCTTAACACCAATTTCAAAATTCTGAAGGCAAGTCTTGTGCCTCAAGAGTAGGTAAGTACAATTTAAGGAATAAATGAATATTAAATAGGACTCGAAAAATGGCATTTCATTTATTCGTCCTTAAATTAGTATATTAATGTTGTACAAAAGATCACGAGGGCGTTGACAGTACACTGGATCCGTCTTATCCGCTAGGTATTTAATTTTAGATTTGCCTAGCTAAGATAGACTTTTAGTAGAACCTTATTATGAGTGATCCCTTTCTTTGCTTACTTTGCAAAGGAGTGGCTGGAAAAGTCATAAAAACTTGGCAAAGACAACGTCGAAAATCCGGAAGCTGAACGTGGTTGTTATGGAAGTGAGAAGGAAAAAAAAAACTTTTATTTTCTTATTTTGCAACATATATCATATTTTAAATTTCATTCACTATTTTCGGAAAACAAGTGACTTTTTCGTTGAAAATATATCACAAGCTCTACTTTCTTCTCCTTTTATTACCATTCTAATAATTAACAATTAGAGCATCAAAAATTCCATTTGTGTTCTAGGATGCAGTCTCAGAGAGCTCTGTTGAAGAACTACTTATGGGGATGGCATCACAGCTTGCTGAACGCGAAGATACTGTACTCTGCTCAGATGTTCGAGATAGATTATTCGGGCCAAATGATTTCTCTCGCAGGGACCTTGGTGCACTCAACATCATGCGAGGACGAGACAATGGTCTTTTAGATTATAATACGGTAAGTCGCATCTGCTCCTCTGTGCAAGGATTAGCTGCTTTATAGTTCATAAAGTTTTGCGCTGAGGTATTTCCGACTAATGGTGCCCAATCTGCTATGATATCATAATTGATTTTTTTTTTTTCACTGAAGGGTAAAAAAACCATGCTCGAAATCTGACAAACTTGAAGCTGCAAGTAAATTTTCTTTCTACAGTCTTTTTGAAGAAACCCTACAAATGGGAAGCTATCTGTGAGGTTTTTACAACTTTACATTGATACAAAGTAAAGGGTAGAGGGTGCTGATGCTGGAGAAGAATACGACGAACTGTCAGAATTAGAGGCGAAAGTTAGGAAGAAAAATAAGAGATGTTACTGAGCATGTTTGGATGTAAGTCTGAGCAATAGAGTTAATGAGACAACATTCTATGATCATTCATGATACACAAACTTTAGACCCAAGTATCATTTTACAACCAAAATATAAAACTTTACAATGTTTGCAATCAAGTTTTTAATATAAGCATTATATATGTATATGCTACTTATAATTAGCTTTTTATCATAGAAAACTGGTAAACCAGAACATCAATGCTGGTGAAAAAGCCCAAATAATTAAAATTGGTAAAAGAAGATGAAGACTTATTTACATAGAGTGCTCTTTGTATTTTCAGATTCGAACCTACTTCCACCTTCCAAAGGTAACATCGTGGAAAGACATCAACCCAACCTTACTCGGAAAACATCCAGAATTAGTGAAAAAAATGTCAGACGCTTATGGAGGCTCTCTAGATAATGTAGACCTCTACATTGGTGGAATGCTAGAATCAACTGATGGTCCTGGCGAGCTTTTTTCATCCATTATCATTGAGCAATTCACAAGACTTCGAGATGCTGATAGGTTTTGGTTCGAGAACAAAGACAACAAGTATGCATAATTCGATCCTTCTCTTTGTCTTTAAATTTAACTTCTCTCCTCTTCAAATTTGAAAGGATCTTTGCTCCATCATGTAGTTCATAGCTGCATTTGCATCGACAATAATCTTTCTCTCCCTGGCTGCAGTTATTCAGTAGGAGGTTTTCACTGTTATGTTCGACTCTAAATTTCTTGGTCATTTCTCAAGCCTTTAAGTAATATTTTTCTTTCCGATCAAAAGTAATAGTAGATATGTACTACTACATATTTTTACTATGACCTTCTTATATTATTTCAGTAATATTTTTGATGAAAATGTTTACTCAGGTCGAGATTTTAGTCACTGTCTGTTCACTCAGAATAGGTGTGAACGGCAACTTTAAGTATTAAGTTTGGTTATTTAAGTTTGTTTTTTTTTTTTTTTTTTTTTTTTTTTTTTTTTTTTTACTGTTAGTCTTCAGCTCTTATCTTGAATCTGTTTACTTTTGCAGCATCTTCACAGAAGAGGAGATTGCTGACCTGCGAAGAGTGACATTATGGGATGTCATTGTTAACAGCACTGATGTTCCCCCTGACGCAATCCAGAAAAATGTTTTCTTCTGGAACGATGGTGATCCATGTCCACAACCAGCACAACTGAATGCTAGCCAGCTGGAGCCATGCTCTTACCTCAAGGGCTATGACTATTTTGAGGTTGGTTTATCATCCTTTCCCACTCTAATGGCAGAGGCCGTTAGAAAGCACTTTTTACAAGTTAAAAAAAACTGTTGAAATGCACAAATGAGTATATACTTTCTGCCTTTTTTTATAGCAAACGGTTTTTGTGAAAAAGTTCTTGAAAAACTTTTTTTGTTTTTCATAAAAGTTATTGAACCTTTTTTAATGTACAATGGTATTAAAAAACTTTAAGGATAATTAAACATCTTTCAAAAGTTTTACAACACTATCTTTAATTAAATTTCACCTTTTAGAAATTTTACGTGCCAAAAATATTTTCTTTTGAGCACATCGGAGATGCAGCCCTGCAAGTCCTATCAAAATTTTAAATAATGAATGTGGGTAATGTATCTGTGGCTACCAGTGACCTCTGTAGATGTGACTTAATTCAGCAAAAATCATTAAAATAATGTTTTCATTCCTATCCAGACAACTCGCCTCCTTATAGGAGCTTTCCACCATGAAAAAGAAAATTTACTTACTGTACATTTAAAAAATAATTAATTTCAATATTATTATACAATGTGTTGATTTATAAATAGTCATTACTGAGTTCCATTGTTTTTTTAATCCCAGGGAAGTGAATTAGCTTTCACCTACGCAATTGTCTTCTTGTGCGTTGTTCCATTAATTTGCGGTGCTGCAGGATATGGAGTAGTAAAGTTGCAGAACCGTCGACGAAGACAACTGAGAATGAGGCAAGAAGAACTTAAATCAGGGCCAGTCAAAACCTCTGGCCTAGCCACAGTCGATAAAATGGCTGTAAGGGAGTGGCTCCACGCAAACCACCGCCGTCTGGTCAAAGTTCGCTTCGGACCAGAGGCCAGCCTACACACAGTGGATCGCAAAGGAGAAAAGCTGAGGTCTGTCAACTTCAAAAATGCTGATACTATCACCATTGAAGAATCTCTGGTAAGATATGCAAAATTTTTGTGATCATGAACATTATTTAAGTTTATTGGGTTGAAATCCAAATTTCATGAACAAAGCCTCAATTGTATGTTTCAATGAACAAGAACAATAATGGGTCTGGTTCACGATTTTAGATTAGCCAAAAATAATAAGATCTGTCAAAATGCCTGTTTTCTACATCCAGTATTATTTAAGACATTATTTTTCAAAAAACATAGGTAGGTATGATCTTTTCTACTGGGGTAGTTCATACCATGGTTTCTTCAACCTTGGATTTATGAATTAGTGGTAAACACATTTGCACTAGTTTATCAATCTGAAACTCGGATGGAACCCAGAAGGTAGGAACCATGGTATGCACCACTGTAGTGGGGATGACGTCACGCCGTGTTTTTTGAGGAGCAAAATTTTTGTTAATTTATGCATTTGGCTCGGAAACTTGGTACTTGGACAAATCTGAATATTTTTTGCTGATCTATTATCATAAATCAACGAAAGTGACTCTATGACTAGTCAGTGACCCATTATCAACAAACAGCGTTTTCATTTTTAAGGGATAGTTAATTTTAAAAAATTCATTGATACATATTCCGAGTATAAGTTCTAAAAACTCTTGAAAAACTCAATGAAGTACATTCTAAAATTAAGGCTTGTGCCCTTTACTGTGTCATTCAGCATGCCATGCTTTTATCTTTCTATGCTAAATTCTATGATGATGTTAGACTAGAATTCAAAGACTCCAAGTGGAATAAACTGGACAGCAATTTTCAAACTCAGATCACTAGTTTTTACCCTTAATGGATCTGGAACTGAAATCACAGACAGTTGCTTACCTACTCGCTTTATTTCTCTCTTGTACTTTTTCCCAAAGAGACATTTTACTTTTCTGCTTAGTGAATAAGTTTCTTAAAGTATTCCTGTACTTTTATTTTATTTTTATTCATGAAATTATTGCTTTTCAGGTTGATGAAAGAGGGAAACGTAAACGACCAATGGTGTTGATCAGGGTGCCTCGAGACCATGACTTAGTGCTGGAATTTGATTCATCTGCAGCAAGACGCAAATTCTTATCAAAGATGGAAGGTTTCCTGAATTCACACAAAAAGCATCTGATTGTTGTTCAGGTAAATTACACCTCTACTCAGTCAATTCCACACATAATTTTTTTTTCTTTCCTCCTAAATCTAATTTTTAAATGTGGATAGAACCTTGCATACAAAGAATTGTATGCATATTACACATATATTTATCAGTTGTTTTTTTTTTAGGCTCCACGAGAGTTAATGCTGGCTAAAGCAGAAACAAGAGAAAGGAGACAAAAGCGACTGGAACATTTCTTCAGGGAAGCATATGCCTTGACGTTCGGCTTGAAACCTGGCGAAAAGCGGAGGCGGGAAGATGAAGGTGGAGAGGTCGTTATGAGAACATCTCTATCTCGAGCTGAGTTTGCCTCTGCTTTGGGCATGAAACCAGATGCTGTTTTTGTTAGAATGATGTTTAACATTGTTGATAAAGATGGTGACGGACGAATCTCATTTCAGGTAAAAAATTTAATTTAGTTTTGGCAAAATTAAATTTGTAATAATCTTAGGGTAGATCTTCCTCCTACATGAAACATTAGTGAAAATAGAATGGAATAGTATGAAAATTTGGATAGTGGTTGCTTTTAACCCCTAACAGTCTGATATTGACTTTCAATATCACAACTTTTGACTCAGTTCAATATCGCAACTTTTTCTAGCAGGTCATGTGTATTTCAGACTCGCCTAGATCTTTAAAAAAATCTTTTCTGTGCCTTCTCATGATGTTTAGCTTGTCATTTTTTAATGATAATTCAAAGAAAAAGGTGAAGAATCAAGCGATAGTATTAAGAAATCCTGTTGTATTGTAGTTTTGGTTTAAGTATTTCACACATGCTCTTTCCTAAGAAATATGCTTTAATTCTCTTGGTTGCAGGAATTTTTGGATACAGTTGTCCTGTTCTCACGAGGAAAAACTGAGGACAAATTACGAATTATCTTTGACATGTGTGACAATGATAGAAATGGAGTAATAGATAAAGGGGAGTTGTCGGAAATGCTTCGTTCACTGGTTGAAATTGCCAGAACAACCAGTTTGTCGGATCAACATGTTACAGATTTGATAGACGGCATGTTCCAGGTATTTTATCTTCAATTATTCATCCGTTGTCTGTTATGGTTGAACCTATTAAGTAAAATCAAGTGTAAAATTTTAAATGAAATGGTAAAAAATATTTCTCAAGAGGTAGGTAACCTCTGGTCTTACATCGCCATCCTCTTTTTAAAACATTCAAGTTCCTAAAGTGTGTTTCGATTAGAGCTATTTGGTATTCTGTGATGTATTTATTCGACCCTGTAGCAACTTGGCTTATGAATTAATTCATTCACCCATCTTGGTGTACTAATTCCCATTTTATTTTGTAGGATGCTGGTCTTGAGAGCAAAGACTTTTTGACTTATGATGATTTCAAGGAAATGATGAGAGACTATAAGGGAGACTTCGTGGCAATAGGCTTGGATTGCAAAGGAGCCAAACAGAATTTCCTGGACACATCTACAAATGTTGCTAGGTAAAACAGCACGCCTAAGAACAAGTACTAACTTTATTATTCTTTTGATCAGGAGCTGTGGATCTCAGAGATCCCATCAGTTTTTGAGTTAAGAAATATAATATGAGGAAAAATTAGCTTTCTTGATCTTTCAGATTCAGAGATCAAAGTATGACTATCACCCATATATGCCCAAAACTATTTTTTTTAAAATTGATTTTGTATTTACTTATTGTTCTTGATGTTATGCAGACAGGGTAAACACGTGTCCAGGCACAACAAAAATAAAATTGGCTTGCCTATATCCCAGACATGAATTTTCCTGTGTTGAACGCATGAAATTCCCTAATTTACACGAACACTCGAAGTTAAAACCTGCGATGGGTCGTTAACGACCCAATGGGCATTTATGGTTTTTCCTAGGGCTGAGGTGTTCCTAAAAGAGGTATTTGCACCATCGGAACAATGTTGTAAGAGCATATTGGCCAAAAAAATGCCCAAAAATGTCAAATCACGGCGGAGTCATGATAGATTACAATTTAGAGCTTGAAAAATTTGGTTTTCAGAGGAGAAATTTTCAATCTGCAGTATGCAGAACTCAAAATTGTTAGATTGAAATTAAATTTAACTAATGTCCTACCACTGAATGAACAAAACAGCGCATTACTTATTTTTTGAAGAAGTAGTGTTTGCTTTATCAAAAACTCAAATCCTACTTTTTCAACTCAGCTTTACAATATCTTTACCTTGAAAAATTTACGCTCAAGCACTGAGACCGTTTTTCCTGTAAACATTCTAAATTAAAGATTAATGCATGATGAGGTGTACTTTTTGCGCAAATAAAGAGATTAAAATTTATCCCTGCTGACTCACAGAACATTAATCAAAATTCTAAAAACTATTCTTGCAGAATGACAAGTTTCCATCTGGATCCATCTCTTGACGAGGACCGCAGCTGGTTGAAAAAGAACTGGGATTGTCTCACAACATTCCTTGAGGAGAACCGACAGAATATTTTCTATCTCTTTATATTCTACGTCATCACCATTTCTCTCTTCGTTGAAAGATTTATCAGTGAGTAATATCATATTTGACTCTGTTATAATAGTTACTGAAAAGGAGGGCAATTTCTCCAGAATTCAAAATTATTTGGAAACTCTTGATCCAACATCCATGTAGGATCACAACTCATTTTCTCCGTAGAACCCCTCCCCAAAAGTTAAATAAGTGTCTTAATTATCAACATTTTTAATTGTCAATAGAATAAAATAAATTTATTTTTGGTACGTACAGCTTCAGAGTATTCAGGCTCTGGTACAAGTCAAAATTAGTTTGCAAGGAGAAATTGTGAGACACACAAATCACAAAAAGGCTTCATTTTTTTAGCCCTAGTTTTCTGATGTGTTAATTATATGTAAACTACTTACACCAAGATACAAATAGTACAAGCTTCATATGATATATTTAATTTATTAATACAGGTCTAATTTTTTTTAGAAATGCTAAACATGTCATAAGTGATTCCTATGTATGTTTTAGACTAAGTTCAAAAGTTATGTTCATTTTTCTAACATATTAAAATTATTCAGAAAACCGAGATTTGCCCCCCAAAGACAAGTTTTTCAAGGGATAATTCAATTTTTTGGATAACTGGTGCATGATTGGGTAAAACGAAAGGTATTCTCAGATTTAGCGTCCAAAAATGCTTTGGATTACCTCTGCAACATGCTTGTAAATTTCCCCTACTATTTCTGATAGTGAAGTCCATTAAGTCATCCGGCTTAATTCGCCCAATCATGAAATATATGAAAAGGAACAAATTGTTCTGCGTCTTCAAGAAAGGGTAAAGTTTCAGCCTAGATGTCTGATGAATCTTCACCCATCTATTTTTTTCCTACCACCGAAAATGGTCTTGGTTTGTTCCCATTATTCATCAGTTTTCCGAAAAATCAAATTTTCTCCGAGAGATACATTTTTTCGAACCAAATATTTAAATTTTTTAAAATGAGATCTTTGCTCACTGATCTCAAATTCGTTTTATTTTGATTGAAATGTTTCATTTTATGATTCATGCCTTTTCAGAATATTCTTTCATGTCGGAACATACGGATCTGCGACACATAATGGGAGTAGGGATCGCCATCACTCGGGGCTCAGCAGCCTCTTTGTCGTTCTGTTATTGCTTGCTGCTGCTGACCATGTCGCGTAACCTGCTGACAAAACTGAAGGAGTTTTCAATCCAGCAGTACATTCCTCTTGATGCTCACATTCAGTTCCACAAGGTGGCTGCGTGTACTGCCCTCTTTTTCTCACTCTTGCACACGGTTGGTCATATAGTCAATTTTTACCATGTCTCGAATCAACCGCTGGAGCACCTTCAATGCCTCACATCAGAGGTCCATTTCCCCTCTGACTACAAACCTGGCATCACATTCTGGCTGTTTCAAACCATCACCGGTAAGTTTTGGGACACTTACGTCCCAAAAGGTTGGATAGCCTCATTCTCATTTGTGTGAAAATTGTCCCCCATTGAAAACTAAAAGAGGAAAGAAAAAAAATATGAGCAGCTTGTTGAGGCATTGTTGAAAAACATGTCAAAAGCATAGATAAACCAATTGGCACTAGTCAATACTTGCCGGATTAAAGTAGTTGCCCTTTATGTTAACCTAAGTCACCAAAACTTCTGATTTCTGTTCACTTCCAATAATTATATTCATACTGAAATATGTATATTTGTAGCCAATGTGGATTTAAGGTGATATGTTGATATTATTCGTTGAGTTTTCCAATGATTCAGGCAGAATTTATGATTTTTCCTCTAGAAGACAAGTACCAACTTGCGGCCCCTACATTTGTAATGTAATGACTCCCGGGGGGAGGGGGGGGGCGACAGGAATTGGCTTTTCAATCATGGATAAAACAATTAAAGAGTCAAAAGATAAAAAATGTCATCGTGTTTAACATCTCGGGCTAATCTCCCCCATAATCAAGCCTTGGGAGCAGAAATAGCGATATCCCTAAAACAGGCAGGGAAACATGGCAGCCAAGGTTAGCCCTATTCTGACGCTGTAGCATGTTGTTAGAAAATTGTGTTACTTGAATTCCAGCCTAGGCATGGTTTTGATTACATTTGTACTAGGTATTGTTTTTAATTCTAAGAGAATCGGGATTTTTTTCCATTTGTTTAAAAATATATTATATTTTCCAGGAATTACTGGGGTTCTCCTTTTTGTTGTCATGGTCATCATTTTTGTGTTTGCTCACCCTACAATCCGCAAGAAAGCTTACAAGTACTTTTGGGCAGCACATAGTCTTTATGTGGCTCTTTATGCTCTCATGTTGGTTCATGGTCTGGCACGAATTACAGGCCCGCCAAGATTCTGGATGTTTTTCATCGGTCCCGGTATCGTCTTTATTTTAGATAAGGTGAGTACCTATGTACCTTCGATGAAGGACAATTAGATGTAGTAAGAAGTAATGCACCACTAGACCTAGCTGTTACTTCATGACTGTATCACCAAAAATATGTTTGAACTTTCAAATATTTTCAGAATCGACTAATACGTGAAAATAATTGTATTTAGTTTGTGTTAGAATTGGTGAATTTAATTTCTGGCTTGCCATAAAAACCGAAGTCAACCAAGTTAAATCAGCCTTTGGAAATTTATGAGTGTTTGCTATATAAATGAATTTTTTCCCTCTTGATTTCCTAACTTCTTGGGCTTTTTTCCAATTTTCCTTGTTTTTGTCCTTACTGTTTGCTGTTTCAAGAAGTAGAGAAGCATTGAACTACTTTGATATTTTTGTTTTAAAAAAAAGAGGTTCTCAGTGTTGATAAATCTAGAAAACTGTTTCCTGACTATAATGAGATCTGCAGTCTGCACCTTTCTACAAGTTTTAAAATATCACATTCGAGCTTTCCAATCTAAATACCCGCTTATTTGTGTCTTTCTTGAATTTTAGTTAAGAAGCTTTTGATCTTGAATTTAAGAAGTTTTTATTTACTATCCCTTGATTTTCTGAGCTTTCCTTGTCCATTTTGTCATTAACCTAGACGTGACAAGTATTAAATTTAAGCCTAAATGTTTTTCTTTCTGAAATTGACATTTTTTCTATTTACTACTTATTGCTCTTTCCAGGTGGTGAGTCTGCGGACAAAATACATGGCTTTAGATATTCTAGAAACAGAGCTATTGCCATCCGATGTAATCAAAATCAAATTCTATCGGCCTCCAAACTTCAAATACCTATCGGGCCAATGGGTGCGCCTAGCATGCACAGCATTCCGTCAATCCGAATTCCATTCTTTCACGTTAACATCTGCGCCTCACGAGAATTTCTTATCATGCCACATCAAAGCACAAGGACCTTGGACGTGGAAACTGAGGAACTATTTTGATCCTTGCAATTTCAATGTTGAAGTTGATCAACCCAAAGTAAGTCAGCCTGAGCAATTTAGTTTTTAACTTAAAATACAAGCCTAGGACAGGGGGTAGATAGATGGAATGACCTCTTTAGCCTGTAGCAAGATTTAAACAATACCTATAGTAAAAAATTTCCCCATAAAGATTTTTATTTTACCAATCAACAGACTCTAATGTCAAAAATCAAGACTTAAAAACACTCATAGTCCCAATATTTCTGAAATTACTGCTGTTTAGATTTAGTGATTTAATAGATATGATTCTCTGAATTTTTTACAAGTCATTCCAATGTTTGTTCTTCTATTTAATATTTATCAACATACAAAGTTTGTTAGTAGATGGTCATTACCTAAAACGGTCTTATTAATTTTAGATCTTTTCTTAATTTTCCATGAGTTACACTTTTTGGAAGACTTCTGCGAAATGATCGAACTTTTATTTAACCAATGGAGCTAGCAGTTTATAATTTAGTCATTTTTTTGCATAAATTTGTTTACTGTAAATTACAGTAAGATTGTATTAAATTTTTCCAAATTTTTACAGATTCGATTAGAAGGTCCATTTGGTGGTGGGAACCAAGACTGGTACAAATTCGAAGTAGCAGTTATGGTTGGTGGTGGCATAGGTGTCACACCTTACGCCTCCATTCTCAATGACCTTGTCTTTGGGACGTCAACCAATAGATATTCAGGAGTGGCTTGTAAAAAGGTAAACCATCCAATTGAATTGTTCATCTTCTGATTGTTTTTTCACCAGTAAACTCATTTACTCACCTCTTTTTTCATCGTTTCTGGCAATACAGATAAGAAGCATAGTATTTTCATTGATATCAACCGGTTAAATTATTTTATATTATCATTACTAATCCTGAGATGACAGTTTCCGAGCCTTATGTCTTGTGGTTGTGGTATATGTCTCACAATGTGGTTGAATGTCAGAGACTTTAAAGAAAGTGGTGGTTCTAAGATGGCCATTGTTAACTAAACCTTTGACATACTTCCATGACCATTTATTTTTGCTACAATTTTCTTGAGTAGTTGCCCAAATTTTCTAGATTTAGCTGAGCAGATAATTATATGTAATTTTTTAATAATGTCTAAGCTCTTTCTGTAAAATTCAATGGTTAAGTAGCCTAATATATTAAAATAAGTTAGATCAACGATGAAAATTTTGCAACAAAAAAAAGTTGATCTCACATTGACTCTCCTAATTCAGTCCATTAGGGATTTGCGCAAAGTACAGAAAAAAACTCACAGTACTGATAGAGACTTTTTTACTATTTACCAGGTTTATTTCCTGTGGATTTGCCCCTCTCACCGTCATTTTGAGTGGTTCATCGATGTACTGAGGGATGTGGAGAAGAAGGATGTTACGAATGTACTGGAAATCCACATATTTATTACCCAATTTTTCCACAAGTTTGATCTGAGAACAACAATGTTGGTAAGTAGCGTCTGGAAAATTATTCAATTTTTTTTTGCTTATGCTCTTAGCCTCAAAACAAGACTATTATCTTGCATTAAGTAACTGATACTTGTGAAACACTTGATAAAATCACCTCATTAAAGATCGGAGGCAAGTGCAATTGCACCCTCTTCATGTCCAGAGCATATCGACGGTGAAAGTCGGCAATCACATAACTCGGTTTGTGACGTCGCAGACTTCCTGTCATACTTTATTCTTTAAACAGAAAACTACTCAACGGTAATTCCTTAAAACTGCCGTGATTTTTCTTCTATGTGCGAGGAAAATTCTGCAAAAACTGCAAGTAATCATGTCCATTTGTTCTCCTTTAAAAAAATAACATAGTTGCGGAGATTTTCAGACACCGCAAACGAGTTATGTGATTGCCGACTTGCACCGTCGATATGTATTAGCTGCATGTAGTAAAACACATCGTTGATTGAAACTTCGAAAAATCAAGTTTTACCCAAATTAATAAAAACACTGTCAGTTGATATCTAGAATATCTATAGTCAGATTTATTACAGATCCCTCCATGACAATGAGGCAGACGATAATTTTAATATTTGTATCGGCCTTTTCTTTACCTAAATAGAGTGCTTGAGAAGTCCAGGATAGTTTTCTCGGAGTGAGTCATATTTATTTTTTAAATTTGCATTAGACTTTTTTAAATCTGGGAACCCGCCAAGCTAGAGGTTTCAAAGTGTGCGTAACAAGTTAGATGTTTAATATCTTGTTCTTAAAAGTCTTCTTCTAATATTTTTTCCTCTCTTTCAGTATATTTGTGAGAACCACTTCCAAAGATTATCCAAAACAAGTATGTTCACTGGTCTAAAAGCAATCAATCATTTTGGACGTCCAGACATGTCATCTTTCCTGAAATTTGTTCAGAGAAAACATAGTTATGTAAGTTCATTACTTTACTTTTTAAGTAGATTCCTTTTTGGAAGGAGAATAGTGCTTTCATGTCTAATATCAAATTAATTTTTAATTTCTTTGCTGTATGAGGTGAGAGCAGCAAGTTTTTATGAAGTATATTTTTATACCAATCAGTATTTTTACTTAATTTTTATGATTACATTGAGATCAGTACACATTAAACAACACAATGGATGGAAATAACACATGGGAATCTAAAAATGTCTCGTTGACAAGCCTCTCCAAGTCCAATTGTTTTTATAAGAATCTGCTCTTATTTTAAGGTCCTGAATGGCAGCCCCATTTTGTGAGACTCGGCGAGTTTGTAAAAATTGTAGTCAGTATTTCCTAGTAGAATTTTCACAAGTTTAAAAATTGGAAGGTATTACGTACCTTGACCTATAACTGTTGGTAAATTTAGGAACCAATACAATTTTTCATTAATATGTACAATCATGATCCCAGTCAAATCCGAGTACAAGAAAAAATGTGGCTTGAATACTGTGACTAACAGTCTGTCTCCTCAGTCTTGCACTTATACTCAACAGAATTCATTTTCTTACTTTAATCTTAATTTTTGGTACCTTTTAGCCTTGATTTCCTCGCAGAGTAGTGAAGACCCTGCACTATTCTACCACCCTGTTGCACCTGTATTTTTAGTCATTTGATTTTCTTAATGGTGCCGCTACAAGAATCTGACTGTGAAATTTTTCTTTTCAGGTAAGCAAAATTGGTGTATTTAGTTGTGGGCCCCGTCCACTGACAAAAAGCATCATGTCTGCTTGTGAAGAAGTGAATAAAGGAAGAAGACTGCCATACTTCATTCACCACTTTGAGAACTTTGGATGATTTTCAAAGAAGAAACTCTTTAGGTCTCAATTTTTTAATTTCTGCCTGCCATTTTGTATTATAGATTGTTAATGTTGTACATTGTTAATTGTGTTTATTTGTAAAAAAGTTACCTGTAATTTGTTTCCTATTTTTGGCGCCAGAGCAGGTTAAAAATGTCTGGCGACAATTCTGTAAATGGCTTCAACAAGCGTTAAACAAATGTTTTGTATTATTAATCAAATACTTTGTATTCATCAGGTTTTCCTTTTTTATTGTTAATTAGATTTCAGTGGTTGTGAGTCATAATTCTATTTTCATTTAGGCTAAGAAAACTGTCACTATCAAAAAAAACATCTCCTTGCTAATCAGTAAGTTATGTGTTTCACACAATTGCTTTGATGAATGAATTTCAGAGCTGGCAAAAAAAAGTCGAATCCGTCCAAACGCAAAATTTTAATGTCTTATCAGGGATCATTAAATGCTCTCGTGTAATGCAGGCAGTGATGCATTTTCATTTTGTAACAAACATGGTTGTAAATACCTCTCCTGATCGAATATACTTCATGTAAAAGTTAAACTTGGGAGTGAACTTTCTTTAAACATACTTTTATTAATTGTAATTGTATTTTTTTTTTATTGTAGTTATATTACAAGTGAAATAAAACCATTCGAAAATATTTCATAATTCAGCTCTGGACTCAACAAAACTCTTGACCTGTTAATAACAATTTCTGTGAGACACATAACTGATCCATCGGTAAAATGTTCATGCATCACCGAAACATTGTTTCCGAGGAATCCAGGCTAAACTAGAGATTTATTGTTGAAGTCATCAGAAAAAATGAATATCAGTATCTCATATAATTTCCATCTTTTTAGAGCAGTTGTATAACCGATTGGTTGCTGGTCATAATTGGGAATGACAGGGACATTGTTGTGCTGGACAGATTGTGCATTTCAGCAAATGTCTTACTATTGGGTTTCCCTCAGCCGTGTCAATTTTGCCAAAGCTCTATTCAAACGCAATTTAATTTTACTTTCTCGAAGAGTCCCAAAAGTCTTCAGACTGGTGGTGTCTTGACTCCAAAACCCAAATAAGTTACCCACATTCATTGCCAGCAATCATAGTTTTAGAGTTACCACACAAGTTTCACATGACTTTAGGGACAGTCTATTTAGAATAAGTTTAGAGCTCTAATCAAACGAGGCTTTGCATCTGCATGAGAGTACCAGTGCCATTGATATTTGGGCTCAAGCTTTCCGAAGCCCTTGGGACAAAGTTTTCCTTTTTTGAAGAGTGCTTTGTTGCCAACCTAAGTAACGCAACAAAACTATGTTACCATTCAGCCTAGTTCTTCATACCTTTTGTCACTATCTATTTCTTTCATTAAAGATCTTACTTGAGAGATTGCCTTTTGATTTCTGCTGACCTAACTCTGCCATAGGAGCTTAATTCATGCAACTGACTCCATATTTTCTAAGCCATGTACAGCTGTGGTGATTTTATTGCACTTTGAATTGAAGAAAATTGAGGCTATTAATGGCTTAAATAAAGCTAAGTTTATTTGCAAGGATGTAACAATTATTCAGTCTTATACCTTTAATTGTTGGGAAACAATTTTCATTTTCAGTCAAGTAGCATTCAAGATGTTAAAAATAAATGGTCATGAAGAAACAGTCCTGGCCCTAAAGCACTGTCCCACCAGGATCGACAATGCGCATGTTTCATCATGAATTATTAAATTATTTTATGATTGATGCTTTTCCTCTCTCTTTCTTTTAAAAATAGGTTATTTTTGTTCTTTTCTTCTTTTTCTATTTTTTCTTTTAATGTTTCTAATATTGAATCTGTGATTTTGACCAATGGAAACCTGGACTTGAACCAGAGCTAGGTTTCCTGAGTATTTATTTTTGAGTTGGTTTTTTTTTTTTTACATTACGCTCCATTCTACCCTTTGTTTTTATGAGTTCAGTCAAAATTTAAGCTAGAAATGTGTATAAAATTGATTTAGGTTAATTAAACATAATGTCCCAAAGCCATGCATCTGAGGGTGTATCGGCTTATTTATACAGCATTTTAAATTATTTCTATCACCCTTTTTAGGTAGAAATAAACTGATGTTGATTAAGTCGGTGCTAAACAGATAACTCTGACGTAGGAACTTCCAGTACATTAAAAACTGTATATTTTAACTGTGTGTAATTTTTCTTCATCTTTAAATGCGGTCACAGTTAACAGTCAGTCCCTATTTCAAAAAAGCCATTTTTATAAAATTTTCATTAAATTTAATCATTCTTGTATTTAGCTTTTAGAAACACCTGTCGCCCTTTATTCAACCAGAAACTTTCAAATGGAATAGGCAAAGCATTGTTCCTGCGTCAAGGGAAAAAAAACAAAGAAAACACAAAGAGAGAGAAACTTCTGAGCAAATTGTTGTCTGGAATGCTTTGAAACTGCAAATTCTGACATAATTCAGAAAAATAGAATTTATCAAAGATACATGTAATTTTATAAATTATGAAATCGAGATTAAAATTTAAATTTGTAAAGTTTATTGAAAAATTGTTTATTTACTTTGTATTTATCTTTAACTAATATATTTTCTTTTTCATTTGTATGTTTTCTATCAAATTATTTCCTCCAGGCAAAACTTTCATAAGCCACCGTACCATAAAAGAGGTGAAGATGTTCAAGGCAAAATTTTAAAGTATAACATATCTTGAAGAACTTCCTCACATGCATTGAAATTACAGTAAAATGTGCTTCTAACAGTGGCGGCCCATTTTCAGTAACAAACACAACTGATTACTAAACTTGCATCATTGCTGATTCTCAAGCTAAAGTCTTGGTTGACTTTGGCAATGCCAAGTGTTTTAGTTCTGATAGCCTTGAACAGAATGTTTTTTAATGAGCAGTTCAGATTAATTCAGTTTAAACTGCATGAAATTCTGGTTCTAATTTCTTTCAACTTTCAGCTCCAATTCCCTACAATGTTCGTGCCTTGAATTCGTCAGAATTTGACTTGACTTAACCGTCTCCTTATCATGGAATTGGAATTGGAAATGAATTCTGTGGAATCCGAATTCGATTCTATGGCATTTAAGCTGAACCATAAAGTTGGTGATAAAATCCCTTTGAGTTGTAGGTAATCTAATTCTGAAAAATTAGAGTTGGAATTGATTAAAATCAGAGCTAATATTATTTGAGATCAGTGCTGACATTCTTTGGAAGTACAGGAATAGAAATCTGCGATATTATAACTGAAAATCCATCAACTTGAAACTTGGTTCCTGAATCTAATCAATTTGAGCTAAAGTTTTGTGGAATTAGAAAATTCCATGGAATTCAAAAACCGAATCATGACGGGGCAACAAGCTAATATGAAATGATTTGTCACTCAGAGGCCACGATGATGTGTCCTCTCCCATCTAGATTTAGAGGAGCCTGAAGACCAGCAACAGGTACTTTACGAGATGAAAATCTTATCATATTTTTTGGAAGGAAGCAGGTGGCACAGTGGTTAGTGAGAGGATAGTAAGAAAAATGAGAGGAATAATTACATTTTTACGCTGGTTCAATTTAAATAATTTTTTTGAGAGCTAATGAGCTATGTAAGTTTTTAGCAGTCCAGTTTAGATTTTTCTAATTTCCACAGTTCTTGAGAATTGCCTAAATTAGGAAATCTACTTTCCAACAACCTTTGAATAAATAAAAAAAAAACGTGATTGGAGAAGAAATTTACCTTGAAGATTCCTTGAATTTGCCATCCTCTTTTCCCATCTGGGAAAGCACTGGCTCTAGAAGTGGAGATGGAAGGGGTCATCTTTTTTGATGGCGTATCGCCAAACCAATCTGCAAATGCCAATGTTTGTCCCTCTTGACATCTGATAGATATTCATCAAGCAATCTGATAGGATGAAAAAAAGACTCATTACTTACTTACAGTATTAAGTTCCATATTCACTAATGACAACAAAAATAACAAGATTAAGATCAATGGTGGCAAATTTTTTGTGAGTAGGGCGTAATCTCACAGCTTTCACACTTCGCAATCGTCTAATTCTTCGTCAACTAGACTCCAAGCATTGGAGACATTTAATAATATAACAACACTAAAGATCCCTTAAGCCTCAGCAATTTCTGTTGGAGAACTTTCAACTTTGTTCAATTTGGCAAGGCATTTTAACATGATCTAGAGTTCAGAATGAGAAGCTACAAGCTCTAAAAACATTTGAATACTCACCTCGTCCGAGGTACTGGATTCCTGCATCGTTTTTAAATTTATGTTCATCTATAAATTTGTGGGCAAGTACTACAAGATTATGGATTCTACTACTACCTGAGAACCTAAGAAAAAATAGATTGTAAGTTCAGGATTGAAATCCTCCCGCACCGTGTTTTAACCTCAAGGCTTTATTTCTACTTAATTTAAATGAGTATAATACACTTGTTTAATGGAAAATTGTTTATGCCCATACGTATAATACGAGATGTAAATACTACAGTCAGCGGTGGCATTATCATAAGGGGAAAAATTAAACTACGTTTGATCGATGAGTCGATGACCAACATATTTGTTTGGTGTGAACTTCACCCACGAAAAAGTACCTAAGTAACCACTAACAAATCGACACATTCTGTTCTTCGGGTGTTTGCTGAGCTTTAAACGAAGATAAAACAATCTGAATATTCTAGCAAAATACATTACTCCTGATTTAACAGATTATTTTAAATCAATAAAGAAATCTGAGTCGATCGAATGTCATCATGATCGAATGAAAGCAAGAGCGAGCGATGAATTTTTGCTTTGTTTACAAACACAACCATGTGTCGCGATTGGTCGCGAGCGCAACGCGATTCATGAATGAACCATTCAAAATAGAACGGACCAATGAGCGACCGAGGATTCGTCATCGTACGCATCGTAGTACTCCACGTAGTATTTTGTAGTAAACGTTGCCAGATCGAATGAGCAAATGACGGTAAAAGCTTTCCAGGCAGTGAAACATGTTTATATACCCGAGATTTCAGTGGGAATTTCGCGATTACTCGTCTTACACGTTCTGTTACCACGAGAACAAACTACATTCGTCGCAAATCTATTTTACAGGTACTATAGATGGTGTCTTCGATCGAATTTTGATTTTGATAATCTATCTTCGTATGGATGGTTTTGTTTTTATGTAGACGTGGACTCTCAGGATAGCGTGGGATATCCCCTCCATTTTGGCCTCAACTTGTGAGCTTTTTTTGAGCTTGGGAGTTGATTTCAGAGAATCTCGCGAACTTTTACGTGAGAATCAAAAATCGCAAATTCCTCACACATGCAACATCTCCATTGTCAAAATTAGGAATGACTCACCGTACGTACACATTCTCGTAAAAGGTGACTAAACTAGCGCAAGCAACTATTACTGCTCCAAAGTAGCGTATATTGCCTAAGTAAAATATTGAAGGCAAACTGGTCGAAGCGGAGCAGTTACGCCGCGCAGCACCGTTATACTTACTGATTCGATAAATAAAGCATAATACTTACACTTGGAGCAAATGAGGGATGCTACGCAACAAAGATTTTCTGCTGGTCTGAAATCGATCCTATTGGCTGATTATTGATTAAGCTCCAAAAATTGTACCAGGTTCACTCAGCCGTAGATATTAACAGTTTCTTGTAAGATTTATTTGTTGCTCTTGGAAAAAAGGCAAGTGGGTCGTGATTAGATGATTTCCTCTTGGTGTACCTATCTGTATGGACCTCTGTGCAAACTATAGCAATCGATCAGTCTGGTCAGAGGTCCGATATCTGGGAAATCTCTACCGAAAATGTTGGTTAGTTTAATTTAATGTCGTCTGCCTAGGTTTTGATGATGCTCAACTAATCATCTTTCTTGATCATCTTGATTCATCTCATGAGTGGTACATATTTGTACATAAAACAGACACATGGGCGTCAAATAGCTAGATGGTGCTAATCGCTTGAGAGTGTCAGGTGGTCGGTACATGAAAAATAATCTGAGAGCTCTTTTATCACGAATATAATTTTAGGAATGTAGATAAGGTGAGGCACAGACAAGCAATTATGAAGGGTGAGTCATTTCAAGGTTGGATCAAATGTAATCGCGCAAGAATAGCAAATCAGTGTGGTCAGCACATTTTGACAGTGGATCAGAGGTTATCAAGCCTCACTGTAATCCGCAGTTTTCAATACATCGTGGTATTAAAACATATTTATCTTATTTTTTCTTCTAATTTTCATCACAAGTACAGTTCAATAAACGATAAGAGAATAATTAAGAATAAGACATTATTAGCTTCTACGAAGCTTAGGCTCAGTTTCAACGTGGGTAGTTATGTGGTGATTTGCCTCCAGTGATATTTTGGGAGGCAGAATTTTACAATACTGAGGCGCGAGGATGGCGCTACCGCTGAATTTGTTCTTAGTTTGGACATTTTTTTGTTTATTCTTTGAATCATCTGTTGGTGTCACAATTCGAGAAATCGATGGAGAAAAGGCTATTGAGTAAGTTCAGTTTAAAGCTTAAAGTATCTACCTGATGATTCCAACTTTAGAAGAAGGCGGGAGAACAAACTTTGGCAGTAGATGAACGAGCATGAAGTTGTGTATCGAAGGCTAAAATCGAAAATTGAGTCTTTAAGTATGCATTTCAACGTTTCGAAATTTCCGATTCTGTTTTATTTTTGTGAGAGTGGGAATGTATACAATATGGAAAAAAAATATCTCCTTAAAATTTTTTATAAATATTTTTGAATGAGTAAAGAAAATTCTGCGGAAATTTCTACGGGGGACAAATCTGTTCGTTACTTTTTTTGAAGAAAAAAGGAGGGAATTCAGTGAACTAAAATAAATTATGAGCGGAGATTTGCACGATCGGAGATAGGTAGGTATTTATCAATTTTAGCCGTAAATATCCTTTCAATTAAGAGTTTCCTCAACAAATTCCTCTTGTCGATGGCCGAAATGAGAGACTACGTATTCTCATTGCAATGTTTCAATATTCCCGCTTCTAATTCATTTCTCCGAAAAGAAACAAGCCAATTTCATAGCCTGAAATTTATACAGAATATTCTGCTAAAAGACTAAAAGAAAAGAGAAAATCAAGGAGGTTTTCTCAAAAAATTCGTTGACTAGTTTTCCGATGAAAGAATAAGGTAGGGTAGGTAGTCTTGTGACATCGCAAACGTAGATAAGTGGTTTTACGCTTCTGGTCATCGATGTGATGGCGGTTTGAAGCAAAAAGAAAATTCTGGCAATTGCAAAAGGGTTAATTTTTTAAGAGATGTTTAAGTAAGTCATTTCGAAGGGATTCTTCCTTATTCTGATTTAACCTTCAATCTGTGGTTAGCGACAACGATTCTTAACGATCCTAAAACATTGCATACCGTTCTAATTTGGTCGACATTGTTATCCAAAATAGGTTACCAATCCACAGGGCCAAACACCCTGCCCAGTCTCTTCTTGAATTCGTCGGATCAAAAGGTCTTCTCAAAAATGGAACGGCTCATCAAAATTCGCATCTTCAGGACATTTTTAAAAAACTGAAAATGGCTCCTGCTCCTGTCAAGAACGAAACCCTCGCCATTTTCAAAAGATTTGACGTAAGTTCTTGTATATTTTCTCCGCACTGCACGTAGGAGTGGGGCCATGATATTGGAGATGGGACATTTCTTTCATAAATTATCATGATTTAAATGATCGTAAGGAATATAATAATATATAAGGAATAATAATGTATAATATTTAAGGAATATAATATATTATATAACTTTTAACTTAAATATGATTCCCAACATTTATCGAAACGATATAATTGTTTTAACAAGCTGAATGTTAATGACAATGTGTCTATATTATGTTACCTTTGGGTATTTTTTCCTTTTAAGGACAGGACCGGATTTTCCTACTTGTTTCCCCATCAAGTTTCGTAAACCTATCTCTAATGGACAAGGCCTTCCATTCATAAGAAATGAACGAAAACATTATGAAAGGACAAACACAAAATTTGGTTTAATGATTTTAACTTCCGCCGCCGCGCCGCGCCGACCGCACCGTGTTTGGCGCAATGCGTGAAGTATTCACGCAGTCTTGTAGGCGCTATGCGTTTCACGCTGGCCGCACTGTGTTTGGCGCAATGCGTGAAGTATCCATGCATTCTTGTAGGCGCTATCCGTTTCACGCTGACCACAATAACCGCACTGTGTTTGTTGCAATGCGTGAAGTATTCGTGTAGTCTTGTAGGCGCTAATATGTGTTACATGCCGATTGCCGCGCCGAGGGCTTCTCCTTTTCATCTCAAGTCCTCGTAATCATTTCTCCCTAAGTCGCGCCGTTCTAGGCCAAATTGTGTGTTTGGTTTCTCTCTCAACTCGACTAATTAAAGGTACTGTCTCTTGTATCACTGAAAGACGACAAAATTAGAAATTACTATACTCTCAGGAAATGAGAGATTTTGTAGCATTTTCTCGTTTGTAATTTTTTTTTCTAAATCCGATGTTTTTTTATACCTACATTTAAAACAATTGAAAAATTTGCCGCCATGGGCCGCGGCCGATGTGGCCACCCCCTTAATCCGGCCCTATTTAAGGAGAGTAACAATGCATCGCTTGATCGGCGAGCTATCTTTCGAGATTTTTAAGATACATACTTTCTGAATAGGTGTATCTAATTATGTTCACTCAAGGTTTCATGAGGACTAATAAAACATACTCCTGGAAAACGAAACCCTTCGAAACAAATCTTGTTCTTAAATTTTGTTAAGTAATTGAAATTTATGATCGGCCCCTCAGTACAAGTCATAATTTAATTGATCCTTTATTAATTTGTTGCTATTCAATTTTTGATAATTTTAGTCGGATTTCTATGCTCTCATCAGAATTGGGAAACCAGCAAATCTGACTTACAAGTTCGTCATCGATACGTCGTGGGCGGATACTTGGGTAGTCTCAAACAACTGTAAAGAATGGACCTGCGGTGAGTATGTTGCAAAAAAAAAAAAAAAAAAAAAAAAAAAAAACATATTAAAACACGTCTATCTTGCTGCCCTTCTCTAACTGGTTAAGCTTAAAGGATGTGCCCGATTACGGGGCCTGTTTAGTGTAAGAAGTTTAGGGGTCCCAGCATGGTTAGCCTTTTGGTGTAGATCCTGAGACATTAAACACCCAAATCAGCTGAGCTTGTATTTATGTAGGGAATTGCAGGCTCTTGAATTTCACTGATTTTAGGAATATCATAAGTTTAAACTTACTTAAACAGAAAACAAAATGTAAAATGCTAAGGATTTGACAATTCTGTTGAAGTAAATTTTAGCGCTGAGTACAAAAATGGCTTCAGTTTTTCCTTATTTCCACTAATGTGTGTTTACCGGAAAATCGAGATTTTCTTTTAAAAAAACGGGGTTTCCCAAGGAAGCAACAATGTTGATTTTTCTTTTCAGAATTTTTTTTATTTTTTATGATGAAGTCGAAAATAATTGTAAATTGTTTTACCGCCCACCAATCTTTTGAAAAATCAAATTTAAAAAAAAGAGAGACAGAGAGAAAAGGTGAATTTTTCAAGTGTTGGAAATTGTTTTTTTTTCCAGAAAGTTATTAGGTGGTGGAAAGAAACAAATATTTTCCACGGCCTTAGAATTAAAAAGGAAGTTGGAGTAGTTCAAATATTTCTTTGCAGAAAATTCGAATCAGTCTCCGAAAAATTGAAAACCGTTATCACTCTAAATATCACACATTACCATTAATTCGCAATATTTGTACACACTCGGTTAATAACTACCGATTTTAAACGATCAGTAGAATGAGTTCCATGGATTAGAAAGATTGGCAATTCCCAATAAGTGAATAATTGCCTCTCATTTTAATGTGAGGTAGTGCTTTAAATTGCAATAAGAGGAACTCCTTCGATTAGTAGATAGGCAACAACATACACCGATCCGATTCAGTGAGTAGCAATTCGACCGCGTAATTGCTATTCATTGCGACCAGTGCTTCTCGGACAGGTGCCCTGATATTAATAAGCCAATATTACGCAAAAAGTAACTTCCTAATTCTTCTGAGTTATTGAGGTAAGCACGAATAAGCATTGAGAAATCAATGGAAAATGGTAAAGTCAGTTTGGAGCTAAAAAAAGTGCGAAAAATTCTCTTTGCCATTAAGTGAGAGGAATTTGTTGAATAAGCCTCCACGGTTTTTTAAACAAAAAACTTCCTACCTGTAGAACTGAAACGGTAAATTGCGGTACGTCCGGGATTATCCAAATCAGGACAAGGCTTATTTTATATATAATCAGCTCGAGGATGGAAATAATCGAAAAAATTTTATGATAGTTCTTTGTCTTTTCAGATAATAAAGACAAGTATAACGCAAAAAGATCTAACACATCTCATCCAGATGGACGTAATTTTTATCTCGATCTCGGCCAAGGCACGTTTGGCGGTAATTTGACTGGAATTTTAGCCATCGACACTTTCAAGGTAAGCATCGATACCGTAAATATAGTGAAGACATTCGAATATGCAAATGTTATTTCTCTTTCTTACTCATAACATATAAAAATTTGAAATCTGTGTGTAAATAGAGCAATATAACTGAATCAAGGGAACGAGATCCACAGTTGATTTTAGGACTAAGCGGGCTGAATGGGGCCTCGTCCCTCGGAATTTTTCATGACACTTGCAGCAAATGTAGAGGATTTTCGAAATAACCGTGTGACATGTCATCTAGGACATTTTATTTCAGTAAATTTGTCGATAAGAGCAGTAAAAAATTCCTCCTAATACGTCTTACTTTTAGAAAAACTTATGGCAGCAACCCGGAGCGCTCCGTGGTATGATTGTTGCCTATAAGATTAAATTTAAGGCGAATGGATGATATCTATCAATATGTTCACTCATGGTATATTAGTTTACCGTTTATGGAGTGAGATCAATATGTATTTTTTGAAAAGCAAACTATTCGAGCCCTCCGGGATGTTTGTTGTCTATGTGGCAAAACTGAAGGCGACATTCAAATGGTCAATACCTATACCGATAGGTTAACAACATATTGACGGTGAAGCTACTAAAGCATGCAACTCGTTTGCCGTGTTTCCAAATCTCCGCTCCCTTTCCAATTTTTTGAGGGAGCACAAATCAAGATTATTTCTCAAAGTTTTTACAAAATTTTCGTTACAGATACCGTTACAGATTCGCTGGGGTTGGGCGGGGCTAGTCCCGGAGCCACCCATATAGCTACGCACATGGCCATTACCTGATTTATATTGGGTCTTCGAACAAAATTGGACCGAGTTCATCAGGAAGGAGCCAACCCATATTGAGTTGAAACTGAGAAAAAGAGCTTTGAAATTTTATTCATGCATAAGGCTCATAGAAAATAAACTTTAATCCCTGCTCTCTTCCCACAGACTAATTTCTCTTTTTCGACTTTCAGTTTTTGGCAGGAGTAAATATACGGCTAGTGGAACTCAAAAACATTTTCAACTCAACTTTTTCCAAAATGTGTGTTGGTTCCTTTCTGATAAATTCGGTCCAATTCAAAATCTGTCAAAATCTTCTCCGTGTAAATATGACAAATACTCAATTTCCGAAACTCCGTCGTAAGACATCCCTTTATGTGCAAATCGCAACACTTAAAGTCTTTTCTAAATTTTGTTTCCAGTTTGCTCATATGAATGCAACAAACGTGACTTTCGCGGAGGTCAGCAACATACCTTGGTTCATGTATTTTACTCGCTATGATGGAATTTTGGGAATGTCAAGGGGCACGGAAAATTTGCAAGGAGCTCCGCTGATCTGGCGAGAGCTTGTACGTCAGAATAAAATAAAAAGAAACATGTTCAGTCTATATTTAAACAGGTACGTTAACTTGTACGAAAAAAAAATATAGGAAAAAATAACATATAAATATAAATAAATACAAAAAATATATAATGGTCCATGTTGCCTTTATAGATCTGTGCAAAGTGTACAGGCCCTTCAGAGGACTTCCCTAAAATCTCTTTGCACTTTTGTCTCCTCAAATGACTTATACAGGTGCATGGCTTATGCATTTGCAAAAGAATGACTTCGGCCGGAATTTTAAGGTATGTATTTTGAAACCGCCTGGACTTGAGACATCCTAAAGAAAATTCCTCTTGCGCATTAAAATCTTTGAACTTATTGCGCAGTTTCAAGGAAACAAAGAGCGAAATTGCAAAGATCTCTAAAGCACCGTTACGTGTGGAATACATAGGCTGTCCCAAAAAGAAGTGGACTGATGCTGTAATTTCCGAACTGATCATTGCAGCGATCTTTTCTTGGTCGCGTTTTAAAGATCAACTCAATACCTATCGATTAAGACCAAGATCATCAAAATCGGTCAAAAATTGACTGAGTTATGACGTTTTCCGTGAGAGGAGTAAAAATTCAGCCTACCGTTTTTTGAAGAAAAAATCATACCGAGAGTTACGCGTGTCAAGCTTCATCTCCACTGTAACTTCTCTCCCGTAATGTTTTCCTTCATCAGTGATACAATATGACTAAAAACCTGTTGGTAACAGTGTCTAGTCGGTGTCCGACTCATGCCGTAACCATAGCGACCAGGGATGACCGGGGAGACTCGCGCAGAATTCGGCGACAACTTCGCCCGCCAGCGACAGTTTTCGAGTGCGCGCGCTCAGTGCAGTGGCAATTTGGTTGTGCCGTTTTCATTCGTTTTTTCGAGATTATGGAAAAGGACAGTGAAATTGTCTGTTCTTTCATAATTTCACTGTCCTTTTCCATAATCTCGAAAAAACGAATGAAAACGGCACAACCAAATTGCCACTGCACTGAGCGCGCGCACTCGAAAACTGTCGCTGGCGGGCGAAGTTGTCGCCGAATTCTGCGCGAGTCTCCCCGGTCATCCCTGGTCGCTATGGTTACGGCATGAGTCGGACACCGACTAGACACTGTTACCAACAGGTTTTTAGTCATATTGTATCACTGATGAAGGAAAACATTACGGGAGAGAAGTTACAGTGGAGATGAAGCTTGACACGCGTAACTCTCGGTATGATTTTTTCTTCAAAAAACGGTAGGCTGAATTTTTACTCCTCTCACGGAAAACGTCATAACTCAGTCAATTTTTGACCGATTTTGATGATCTTGGTCTTAATCGATAGGTATTGAGTTGATCTTCAAAACGCGACCAAGAAAAGATCGCTGCAATGATCAGTTCGGAAATTAAAGCATCAGTCCACTTCTTTTTGGGACAGCCTATGTATCATTTCAAGACATTTCGCCATTCTGAAACTTACAGCTTCCGGGAGGTACATCGACTGTGTAAATTCGCAACCACGTATCTTGGTTTGCGATGTAGCAGACTTCCTGTCATACTTCATTTTTTCAAATGGAGAACTAACTGAACGTCATTTTATGAAATTTTCAGTGACTTTTCTTCGATGTGCAAACAAAATTCTTCAAATACTTCAAGGAATGATGTCGATTCGTTCTTTCTTTAAAAAAAATAAAATAGGAGCAGAGATTTTCAAACACCGCAAACGAGATACGTGGTTGCGGACGTACACCGTCGAAATACTGTTCTACTATTCTGCCGTGTTAAGGAAAAACGCCGTATGAATATTCGAGAGTTGCCAAATTTCCTTCGATAAAACGTCTGTTTTCTAGGAACGTTATGAATATTTTTCCTTGAATTCTTCCGGAACTTCAGGTGAAATTGTGCACAAATTCTCTGAATAATTGGGAGGACAATTTTCACAGGTTTATCAGGAAATTCGTGTTCTATCAAAGGAAATTTGGCAACGTCTGGAGGTTCATACGGCGTTTTTCCTTGGCACGACAGTATTGAGCTGCTCCTGAAATCACCAAACCGCGGGGGTGAACCCACCTGCGTGGGTTATCAAAAATGAGCAGATTTATATGATGTAAATATTGTAAGTAATAAAGGTCTGCCGATAATGAAATTAGACTCCTTTTTCCGAGATTCTCAAGGCAATCTACTCTTCATGAGCTATTGCTTTGTGATTTTTCACGACTACGGTGCCATGTTTCAGGGACCCAACGAGCGATCGGGCTGGATCCATATTGATAGGAGCTGCAGATCCACATCACTATAATGGGTCAGCGTCAGCGAAAGTTCCACTTACTGGTGACAAATACTGGCAATTTGACATCAAAGAGTATGTTCATCAGCATATTAGCGGTTACGTTTTATGTGCTTCATGTTTAGATGCAGGAATATTATAAATGTTGTGCCATAGCCGAGGTGATAGCCATGAATATCACCATAGAAAAAATTAGCATGGCGACGGTCACAACCGAGGGTACAACCACCACCACCCCCCTCCCCCCACTCCCACTATATTTTTCTAGCTACGATTATACAAGTGCGTCATCGACACACAAAAAAATGATCGTGACGTAATTTTGGTCAAAAAATAAGAATTACAGTTTTCAAAAGATGACATGCAAAATTTAAAAAAAAAATGAAAAAGAAAAATGCACCGTAACTGACGAAAAATGTTCACTATAGACGTGTTTTTTTCTGCAAAAAAGAGCTAGTCACAAGGAATTCAATAGAGAACAGCTGTGAAGCACGCAAAATCGGTGCTCAGTGTTCTTTTTGATTGATCGTTTTAACAAACTTCCTTTTATCATATATATCCACATCCGATCAGTCAAATTGCCTCAGTACACGAGATTGCTCACCCGAGATTGAGAAGGCTCATACGGTGTTTTTCTTCAGTACGGCAGTACAGTTAGGGTGCTGAAATCGGGAATCAAAATGGAGCCTTTACCGATGGCTCTATTCAGACTTAAATCGGAGGCAGTTGCCGAATTTTTGATGAATAACGATTTATTTTCAATGATACTTTCGAGAAATGTTACGCTTATGGTCGGGAATAATTTAATATGCGCCCACTACCGCCAGCTTTAATCGGTAACGTTGGATCAGTTACATACACAAAATTATTTTTCCTTCGGAAAATACACTAAAAACAACGTAAGTTTTTCCTATGTCACTTCTTATGTTAACTTTATTGGCCATACTTTTATCAAATTTCGTAAAACTTTTCCTTACCGATTTTTCTCTAGAAAAATCTTCTAAAAAAAATCTTCTAAAAAAATCGGTAAGAAAAAGTTTTACGAAATTCCTCCGATGTTTCAAATGTGAATGAATAATTTATGCCAACGATAATATAATTGGACCGCGCCAAGCAGAAAGGGACCAAGCCGAATCAGCTATTGCTAAATTTAATTGGGCAATTCAATATTTTACATGAAAACGGTTGTATGCAGAGTTACGTCCGAATTTCTGTAAACTTTCTGCATGGCATGAAGCAAATTCCTTAAAATTTTCAAAGGAATCCGCACAAATAACGTTCTCTTGTAAAAAATTAAATTACCGAATAGAATTTGGCAATACCTGATGAGGTTTGGTTTTTCTCTGCAGAAAACGCGGTCAAATTAATTTCTACCTCCTCAAGACACCAAAGGCTTTACAAATTTCTCGAAGACCTTAACGCAGGGGTAAGATGCTAAGCAAAAATTAAAAAATGTAAAATGTTAAAAAATGTAATATGTTTAAACGTTTTCTTCGCTTAATTTTGACAGCCTGGGCTTCACGTACGTCAAGAACAAGAAAAAGAAGAGGAAACCAGTGTTAGAGTTTTGCAAAGATTCCTGTCTTGCTAAATTAGCTTCTGGTGGGAACATCATAATTGGCCCTACCGCGGCAATCAATCAGATACATCAGCTTATTGGGGCACAACCGTTCTTTTTCGGATTTTACCGTGTAAGGGACTTTACTCATTACTCTCAGTATCTCATTGTTTTTCCTCGTAGTCCAGAGTAACGAAAATATTGAAATAATTATGCAGTTTAATGTAATGAAGTTGCAATTTGTACCGAGAAACTGCGAATTGTTTGCATCATTTGGTCGATAAATGCCAATTTTGATCATAGGTAATCAATTAAATGAGGTTCATGTGTGAGGAAGATAGGCAATTTGCAAAAGAAAAAAAAGTGCAACTTATTTCAATTTTATTGTAATACATTTTTATAATAAGAACCCTATCTATTAGTGAAGAGATAAAAAGTAGGTACAACACTCAGGTACAATAACAATATTTTTACAATGTGCTTAATTCCAATTTATTGCAACCTTTGTTGCTTGGAATTTAGGCTCTCTGACCACTAAAATTTGCGTTTCCGCCATAGCCCATGCATTTTCGGCCATTATGTCGACTTTTACCAAGATCATATGCAAAATAATTTTCTTTGCCGTGAGACAACCAAAATATACAACTAATACAGCTTTTCCTTTGAAATATCTCTTTCTTCCTTTGTGCTTGCATTATTAAACATCTTTTTCTCTCCCCATTTTTCTCATTCTATCTCTCCCTTCCTTCCTTCCTTCCTTTCTTCCTTCCTTCCCTCCTTCCTTCCTTCCCTCCTTCCTTCCTTCCTTCCTTCCTTCCTTCTTCCCTCCCTCCCCCCCCACCATCCCTTTTCCGTGGTCTCTGACTTCAACCATCGGAATATCAGTAACAATGGAATGATACAACTATTCAAGCTTCCGTGTGTTGCAGTATCATTCTCAATTGAAGGCATTTTCTCTTTCGTAGAGTCAGACTACAGAAGTAGAGAGAGACCTCACTTCTCATGCCTCTTTCCCCCTCCCTCCCCTCATCATCTCTCCATCTGTTTCATTTCCTAGATATGTCTCAAAAATACCTGCTATGAGTGCTATGTATTATGGAAATAAGGAGCAAGTGGTCTTTGTATGTATAAGTAAATCGCTGTTCAAGAAAAACCATTATCTTTTTGTCTCCTCCTTCTCTTGTCTTTTTGTTTTTCTCTCCCTTACTTCCATAATCATTAATCATAATTTTAGTAGTTACAAAAAGCTTCGTACAACTACACAAGAAACAGCGACCAATACATGATTCATATTATTGGCCATTGCTACCGTTTTTCAGGTGCCGTGCGAGAACATCGCAAAACTTCCAGAACTTTATTTTTCTTTTGGGAATAAAGATATTGTCCTCTACGGGGAACAATATATTCAGCAGGTAAATATATCTCAAAGCTTTTCAATACATGTACCTCTGTGAGAATCGTGCGTTATGATACATTTTTTCAGGCAAAATTAATACATTCACATTTTTATGTGATACAATTTTTAAGAGGACAAAATTCTTGGCGTATTGATGATCGTGATCTAAGTTCATGCAATTCAAATGGAAAGCAGTTGGAATGACGTTAGCTTTCAAAAAAACTTGCTGCGTCATAAAAACGGAACAGCCTACAAGTAAAAAAAAACAATTCCGATGACCATTTTGCCCCGTTCTCATCTTAGGAAACTTTTAATGCTACAAAAATAGCTTTGGTTGAATGAAAATAATTGTTGTGTTCTTCTTTTTTTCAGATTTTTTACAATGGCTATGTTTTGTGCCTATCAACTTTCGCACCACAGGATGGGAAAGAATGGATTTTCGGCATTCCTTTGCTCTCAAAATATTATACAATTTACGATTTCGATCAAAACACAATTTCAATAACAGATTATAAAACGCATGAGGCCTAGAATGCATCCGCGTCATAAAATGGTTGATACTTTCAATGATAAATTTATATTTTTCGCAGCCCATAAGAAGGAAGGAATAAAATGTTTTTAAATACATCATGTAATTTATTACTATCTCAATGGAGTACGACTGCGTATTGTAAAGGACTAAAGGCAATTATGGAATCCAAAGAGGCTGATTGAATGCTCTTTCTCTAATGCAGCAATTTTGTCTTGCCCATTTTTGAGGAGTTGAGCTTTTTCCCCGGAAAATTGAGTTTTCCGTTGAAGTCCTTCTTTTAGAGACTTCGCTTTTCTCCTTTTTGGAAAATTAAATTTCTTAGAAAATCCCGGTGAAATAGAGAGATGATAGTTATATCATTTTCGGACTCAGCGCAAAAAAAGACATCAGGAACACCTATCACATTTTGAGCATTTTTTTCGGTAAACTGAGTTTTCCACCGAAGTTCTTTTTTTAGAGACGGGAAAATTCGAATTGCCAGGAAATCCCAATGAAACAGGAGGAAAATAGTTATCATTTCCGGTCTCAGTGCATAAAAGGATATAGGAAACACCTACGCCCGCCAAATGTTGAGCTTTTTTCCGACACATACTTGTGCGAATACACGAGACTTAGTCATTTACCCCTTATAAATCTTATCCGGATGTTCCACCGTTAAAAAGGAAGGGGGAAAAAATTCATAAGATGTTTGATTGGCCGTATCCTACCTATTTTTTGCTGCTGTCGCCGAATATACTTTTGTCTTTTCCTGACTCACATCTATTATATCCTGAAAAACGCAATTTTCAGTGTTCTTCATCCTGCCTCATCTTTTAGCCTCATCCCCGGGCAAAAAGTTAAGAAAAAATAAAATAAAAGTAAATACCTTTAAAAAAGACCTGTCTACCGCACGGGTATCGGGGTATATATTATCTCATTTGGCTGAAACTTGGCAGAGGGTCTTCATTATCTTTTGTCAAATGGACGTATTTCTATCAAACGGACCTAAGCGCCTTAGGGTGAGGAAGGTAGAGGGGGGCTTGGATTAGCGGCGGAATCGGGCGTCCGGCTTATTCCGTCCTATACTTGCAATGCTTTTCCATGGCGCATAGGTCCGTTTGACAGAACGCGCTATCCGGGATTCTAAATTTCTCAAAAGGAACTCAAATTGGCGCTTAGTTCCGTTTGATATACAGGGTTATTCAAAAGTCACGCACCACTGGCCATAACTTCAGTTCTAATTAAGATATTGACTTGCGGTTTTTGACGATTTTCCTCATATCGAAGGGACAAATTTTTTAGGTACTTTCCGGTTTCTGATCCCTTCGTGGGGAGGGGGGTGGGCCGGGTAACTCGAAAATTTCAAATGGCCACCCCCCTCATGGCCAGTGGTGGGTGATTTTTGAATAACCCTGTAAATACGTCCAATGGAACAATTTCATGGGGTAAGACCTAAAAAATGTCTATAAAAATTCTCACAGTATAATTATTGTAATCTTCCGTCACATTCTTACGGCGCAATGATACAACTATTCGAGCTCTCCGGAATGCGTGAGGTATCACGCCGCATTTGAAGGCGTTTTCAAGACAGCCAAGCTCCGATACCCGGATTATCGTTTTGCAAAGTTCTTATTATTAAGTTTTATTTCCTACCATTTGTTTGTTTTCAATCCTCCTATAAATCTACTCATTTGCTGAATACACTTCTGGCTGGAGCTTATTTTAGCTATGCGTTCACGACTACTAAAATGTCAAAGGAAATCGACAGGACTAGCGTGTATGAAGGCTATTTCAATTGTAATCTGCTGTCGCATTTCTAAGGCGCAATGATACAACTATTTGAACTCTCCGGAATGCGTGAGGTATCACGCCGCATTTGAAGGCGTTTTCAAAACGGCCAAGTTTCGATATCAGGTTTGTAGTTTCGCAAGAAATTGGAGCACAAAATCAATGGAATGACTGATTGTACGAGCTAATGGAACTCAATAAATTGGTGTTTTATTTGACTGAAGCGTTCGAAAGCAGTTCGGTCAGAAATTTAAATCAACCTACGGTCCATTATATAGTTCATATTCGGGTGTTTTGTTCCTTACCACTTGTTTATTTGTAATCCTCGTCAGCCAAATTCCGATACCCGGATTATCCTTTTGAATAGTTCATATTCTTTTGTTATATTCCGTACCACTTGTTTATTTTTAATCCTTGTATAAAAACCACCCATTTGCTAAATACAATTCTAGCTGAAGCGCACTTCAGCTATGCATTCACCACTGCAAAAATGTCAAAGGAAATCGACAAGCCCAGCGTGTATCGAGGCTATTTCAATTGAGGACACCGCTCCAAGAACAGCCTATAACTGGAAACCGCGATTGAGAAAAACGCATTTGATGTTTTGTTTTTGATGTAATGCGCAGACTTTTCTGTGCAGGTACCCTGTTTTGGGGTTTTTGGGTGACCTAACCCTTCCATTGAAGGATGCCGGGTTGATTTTGCGATACATACTTGGTTTACACTCTAATATATTTAATTTAAAAACGCGGTTGATAGGCCATTATTGCGCCTAACAGTCATTTTGGTGGCAATATGAAGTATAAATCATTTTAATCAGGCATGATTAACGCAAAATGAATGAATAGGTATCGATAGTGAGTTAAGGAAGGGGTAACTCGGTAACTAGCACCTTATAGGCCCATAAGTTTATAGGCCCGTTTATAGGTCGTTCTTGCACCCATCGATCCAGAGGCCTGACTTAACTCGGAAAAAAAAGGTTTTTCGACGTCGAGCCGTTACCTATCTATATTCTATCGCTACCACAGCATAGTCCAGGGTACGTAGAATCCGAAAAGTAGATGGGCGTAATAACGACCTATACGCCTATAGGCTGTTCTTGGTGCGGTGTCCTCAATTGGGCCACCCTGGTGCAATACTGTCCTTAACTCCTTACGTCCTTAAGTGACCCCTAATCCCTCCTTGAATAGATTGATTGAAAAGCAAGAATCACGCAATCCTTGATTTTAACAAATTACATCGATCTTTTATAGTCAAATACCTCCCATTTTGAGCGTTTGGTTGCGCGTGCACCACGCTGCAGCACAGTAAAAACACAAAATATAAAAGAAAAAATTTAAACCCTTTGAAAATCATTAAATTTGAGACGGAATCACCTTAATATTTACAAAACACATATTTCATTTTCCTCAATACACATTTTTTTCATCAATTTAAATGAGAATAATCTTTGCAAAATGTTCAATCATTTCAAAATCATGAGTTGAAAAACGCTGATTCCACGAGTTTAAATAAACATAGAGCGGAGCGGCGGCCCGGCGCGGCGGCGTGCTGCCGGCGCGAAGCGCGCACTGGCCCCTTCAAACCTAGGAGGATACTTCACGCATTGCGCAATGCTTGAAGTATCCCCTTAGGTTTGTAGGCGCCAATGCGCGCTTCGCACTGGCCCACAGGGCGGCCCTCTGTGGACAAAAATCCAAAATTTACAATTCGACATTTAAATTTTTTTGGATGTTTGTCATCTTCATGATATTCCTGACTCACAATGATGGTTCATTTTCAAATTTTTTGCCCAAAACTATATCAAATCTGGGTAGAAAGTGGACGGAAAATCGGTCGAGAATCACTGGCCCATGAGAAATACACGGGAAAAAGGAGTCAACTTCAAATGAAGATTTTTCGCTTGAAACGCAAGATGCTCTGGGCGGTTAACATTTTCTTACTCTTCAGATATCCAACTTCGATCCTACATAAAAGATTTTCCGACTTTTTGCGACTATCAGAGATATTTGAAGTTAAAGTTTGGGTCTTCGGCGTTGCTTTTACATTGTGAACGTAGAGCTGATTAGAGGTTGCCAACTTCCGATGGACTTCCCTCGGGAAATACGGAAAGATATCCCGAGATAATAACATTTTCTTATCCGTTTGATGTTCTAGTTTGAAAGTGACAAATATTTTTCCTTAGTCAGTACTACTCTCTTCATTATTTACCTAAAGTTAAGTTTTTGGTTTTCAACCTAAAATGCATCAATTCATGAACGCGGCAACACAGTAAGGGATTTCCCGTATGGGTATTCTCAAATTCCATTCGTCAGCGTTCGAATCAAAACATAACAAACCTTGTGCCTCTTATCACTGCAGCATGCTGAATAATGTTTCAGCACTACCGACTACCGTTTCAGTATCACGTTTGTTGACGAACTATTTTCTAAACAATAACATAACCTTTGTTTAAAGTACTGTGTTGTCATCGTGGGCCGCAAAGTTGTATGCTCCAAGTTAATTTTCAGAGTCAGAATAACTATATAGTTCTTTGGCTGGAGTATGATAGTTCTGTGAAATTGAGTGCATTTTTTTCAATGTTATCTACATCTTGACAAGAGCTGTTTAGAACAACAAATCCATAGCCATTATGGACCAAGTCCCCAAGCGTAAGTGATTTCGAACTCTTGTATATGAATTTCATTCTTAGAAGCGTTCCATCTACCACATAGAGAAAAAAAAGGAGGTGTTTGCATTTCGGGCATCTTGGAATTTTTTGATGACTTGATGACGTAGGTGGGTACAGTGTGAAGGGGACGTCCCTGTACCTAGCTGTACCCACCTACGTCATCAAGTCATCAAAATATTCCAAGATGCCCGAAATGCAAACACCTCCTTTTTTTTCTCTATGCATCTACCAGAGTACATCATTATCAGCAAAGAGCTTGACCAGAATTTCCAAATCTTTGCACCATTTTTGTATAAAGTTAACATCTGTATGATGTGTCATGTCTGGCTAAACGTAAAAACTGAATGCAAGTGCTAGCAGCAGAAAGTGAAGCTGCACTTTTAGTTGAATCGATAAATTCGAAGACCCATCCTCAAAATTTTGTCAGTTTGGGTTCTCTAGGGAGCAGACGGACAGGTATATCAGTTCCTAAACGCACACAACTAGTTTTGCCACGGAACATGCTTTTTCAGGGGGTTCCATTTATGAATAATTTGGAATGTGTTCTATTTCATGGAAGATGGTCTTCTATGTTCCTTTAGATTTGCCCATCATGCGTAGTAAGAAAGGAAACTGCTTAGTAGTTGCACATAGCAACCAGATCTTGCATCAGACAAGTTGGCAGATGTTTAAGTTTGACTGATGCGCATAGATTTAATTACGTTTTCACGCACACTGCGGTGTTGCCAGTGCTCAATCCTCAATGGCTATTAGACAACTGCGTTATGTGACGGAAGCCGTATTAATATTGTTGCCTTCGCAATTTGCCTTGTTTGATGATTTTTCACACAATATTATGTGCACAGTACAAACACTGAGATGATATTCTTCAAGAAAGAATTCTGAATAATTGAGAAATCCTCGTTTTCAAGCAAAAATAACTTGCCTTCCATTAAAAGAGAATCGCTTTAAACTTGAAGCAACGAAAGATTGAAACTTTTAAAAGAAGACACTGCTAGAATATCTGGACCATGAGACTTTTCTATCAAACAATGATTTTTTTTTATACCTAATTTATTATAATTGAAAGTGTTCTCTGTAAGTATGGTAAAAAATCACGCTCTGATAAAAAAAAATTTGTTTTCTTTACTTTCAGACGAAGTTTCTGCAACCAGCCTTGGGGGCGACTGCACTTATGAAATTCCAAAAAAATGTATCTTTTCTGAAAAAGATATGAAGTCATGGGAATTGAGTGAAGCCTACGATGTAAGTTGTTTCACCCTCTACTACTCACTAAATGTCTAGACTGATCATTGAGGAAAACCAAGGGACTAATTGGACCGCGTTAAACAGAAAGAAACCAAGCCACATCAGCTGTTGCCAAATTTAACAGGGAAATTAAATTTTTTACGAGAGAACATCTATTCAGATTCCTTTGAAAATTACAAGGAATTTGCTTTGTATTATGGAGAAAATTTCACTGAAATTTGCACAAAAATCCGCTCAACTGTTTTCATGTGAAAGATTAAATTGTCCGATTAAATTTGGCGATAGCTGATGTGGCTTGGTTTCTTTCTGTTTAACGCGGCCCAATTATCCAAACATCCAGTCAATTTGATACAAACTATTAAAAATAAAGCACCTCAGAAAAAGATGGAGAGATTCAAAAGAATGGAAAAATAAAGAGAGATAGGTACGAAAGTGAATAATTTTTTGAATTACGTCATAAAGACCAAAATCTAATATTAGTAGTTGACACAGTTTCAACTGTTAAATTCTTCTTTATTGATTTATCAATATTTGATAGTTAGTGAAGTTCTTCCATGTGTCAGGAATTTGTATCGCAAACACTTCTCCCCGTGTACATTTTCGCAAGAAACATGATGATGTCACTGGTTTTCTCTGAAACAACCGCCCGAGCTCAAAAAAGCTCTCAAAGTTCAAGCTGTAATGGAGGGGATATCCCATGCCTTGTTGAGTATCTACCCCTTTGTCTAGTCAAACTCTTCATGCATAGATGTGCCGGAATCACACACTGAATTTGGCAGCTAAATATGGGAATCAACAGCTGAAATTTCGTAAATTCGAGTTATTTTCATCCAGATTTGTATCAAATCTATCCAAATAGTTGAGACAAAGTGACAACTGCTTAGCTCTGTTCATCGGTGCCCTGAATTTTGTTAATGATGCCCAAAATTAAGGTATCGGACCAATGACCTCCCTATTCAGCTCCCTTCATTCAGCGTAAGTATGATTCCATCAATAGAGAGCAAGCACATCAGCACTTTGTGTTCAACTTGCTGGTTGCTGTGGTTCAACTTTGGAGTCCTCAAAAATTGGCAGCCCTGCTAAAGTATTTGCTCCCTGCCTGTGCATGGAGAGTTTGACTAGATATAGAGGTGGACTCCGAACGAGACGTGGGATATCCCTTCCCTGACGGCCTGAACTTTGAGCGTTTTTTTTTAGCTTGAGCGTTAATTTCAGAGAAAACCAGTGACACCATTGTGTTTCCTGCAAAAATTCACACAAGAAGAAGTAGTAGAAATGCAAACTTCTAACACATGCAAGAACTCCATGCTCATACAGAGTTAGATATTTTTTTTGTGTCAGTATGGCATTATCAGGAAGAATTTATCTTCTCATTATGTTGTAATCTCTCAGCTGGCAAGTATTTAATTTTTGTTTTTACAGTCAAAATGGATATCAACTTCTCTTTGCTGCTGAAAAGAACTAGATGGAAGCTTAAATGTTCACCGATTTTTATTCTGATTACAGGAGTGCAAAATTCTCATAACCTCCCCATTTTTTTCAATTAGCGTTCACATTTTAAAAACTGTCTCCCCAAGATTTTAATAAAAATAATTTTCGTTTTTTCCGCTTACTTAATTCACAAGTTGTAGCAATTTTATGAAATACCCGCAACTTACGTTGTATGGCAAACTGCTCATTCCTTATCCATGCTAATGATAACATCTTTTATCATTTTCAAATTACCTTTTCAATGCATTACCATCATTTCATGCCATTTGCTGGTGTATGGTCGGTAAGTTTTGGCACCCCTGTTTGATGGAGCAGCTCAGTTTAGGCATGTAGTAGCAAATATTAGACTGCTATTGAAGATACTCACTTCTAATTGTTTTCATCCTCATCTTTTAAAGGACTATTTTGGATTCATCAAAGCTATGAATGAAGCCTCCAAAGCCAAATCCTTGAAAATTGATTGTGAAATTTCTGAGATGACCCGAGGAATACTCAATCTTCTAAGCACTCTAGATGAATGGATTGATCAGACTCCGCCAATTGAACAACCTCAACGGTTTGGTAACAAAGCTTTTGCACTATGGTACCAGAAATGTAAAGAGGTAAATATTGGCTCCATCATCATCAATCCATTGGTTACACGCTGCATCACTATGAGACTGCAGGAATGCGAATCTCAGTTTGTAGCATCGCAGACTTCCTGTCATGCTTTATTTTCAACATCAATAACTATGAGACGTAATTTCATGTAAACTTCGGTGATTTTTCTTCTTCATCTGAAAAATATTTTAAGAAAATTTCAAACCATAATGTCGGTTTAGTTTCCTTTTAAAAGATAAAAGAGGAGCACAGACTTTGAAACCCGCAACCAAGATGCCCATTTTTGCAGTGTCACAGTCGATCAGTAACCATTCTTCAAAGAAAAAAGTCACTCATTTATATCTTGTTAGTGGAATCTTCGATTCTTTACATCGTAATGTGGGCGCGTTTACATATAAAAAAAAAAAAAAAAAAAAAATTACGGAAAAAGCAATGTGTGCACCTAGTAATGCTTGTCTAGTAGGAAGTATCTTGAAACTAACAAAAATTGCAATTAATTTTATACAAGTTATGGTCTTGAATAGAAAAGATTTTGTCTCATAAAAGTGTTATCTAGCTTCAGTTCAAACAAAAGCCCCAGGTATCTTTCTGGCTTTCCTTATCTAAGTTCTTTTTAGAGAAATTGGTGCAGGGGACTATGTATACCACCAACCACTAGCCTTACATAATTCAGAAGGGGAGAGATTTGCTAGGTGTGCAAGGAAGAGTGGAGGGTCAAAAAGTCCCCCAAAGTGCCTTACAAAATGCTTGAACTAGATGGCCATTATGCTCTAATTTATGTTCGAAGTTTGAATGGAGGAAATTCTTATTTCTCCACAGATTTTCACTCTGTTGTACATTACCCTTTTGTCCTAAATGGTATACTTTATTTTTCAGAATAGCAGCAAATTATTGGAAGATATTCTACCCAAAGAGTTACATCCAGCAATTGTAGAATTAAAAGAATATTTAACTGAAAGCTTTGGAAACTCAACAAGAATTGATTATGGCACAGGACATGAAATGTCATTTTGTATGTTTCTATGTTGTCTCTTCAAGCTACGTATTTTTCAAGAAAAAGACAGTGTAGCCGTGGTGACCAGAGTTTTTAATAAGTAAGTTCTCCAAATTCATTTGATCAAAAATGAAACCGTGATTCGAAGGATCATTGTTAGAAACCCAACAGAAAAGCTTCAAGCATAAAACTCAGCAGAAAGCCAGTTTTATCAATCCCTTGAAATCTGGTTTTTTCTACAAAAAAAAAAATCTGCCACATCAAGTATCCTCTTTACCTAGTCTGTCCCAAAAGAATTGAGACTGTTGCTGTAACTTCTGAACTGAGGCAGCTAGAAATGTGATCTTGTTTGTATTTGAAAGAGCAACTGACTTTCTAGAGATTTTCTCTAAGTTTACTTGTACAAAATTTGCAATATTATGAAATTTAAAAAAAAAAATAAAATGGTCCCTGCTGTTTTTAGCATGGATTTTCCCTCCTGGGAAAAATGCTTCAAAAACTATCTTCTGAAACTTGGTGGACTTAATAAAGGCAACGCTTTTCAAACGTTGTTTAATGAGGAGCTTAATCACAGCAACAAGATTTGAATTATGGCTCTACGTGTTTAAGACTGAGACAGAGAATTGTATCTAATTTTTATGAGCGAGTTATTGTGATTTACATGATCACCGCTTTTCAGTGTTTTGGTATGGAAATTAAAAGGATAAAGAACTTTAGTAAGTACAATATTTATGATACATTATCGATGCACAGAAGTATATTTCAGTGAAAAACACTGATCACACCAAAACCTAAAGCACTTACCCCTTACTATTAGACAGGCAGAACTCTAAAAACAAATTACAACGTTTTGCGTGGCCATTCAACTCTCATTGTCATTGTTACCCCTTAAACAACGTAACAAAGTTATATTTTATATTACCAGTTTATTCTGTCCGTAAAGTTTTGGAGATCTGTTTTTGAAGAGCTTTCTCTGAAAAGAAAAATATATGCTATAAACAGAAGGGGATTAATTTTTTTTTTAAACTGGTGAGAAAGCCCTAAAGTTTCTTCTCTCCTAGGGACGTCTGCTACATCCCTGACAACTTGTCTGTCGGCTTACTGATTTTTTAATAATTATGCACTGTTTATGGATTGTAATTTAGCTCGCAACTTTGTTCAACAAGCATAGGGAATGAAATGCCCTCATTGAAAGCGGCAGATATTTTCAAAAGTGGCGGTGTAATTAAGGTCTTGTTCTACAAACCTTAGTGTGAACAAGGTCTAATGTCTTTTTGAAATCACTACATAAAACTAATCCACCAAACACCATACATAGTTGACAATTTGCTTTTCATGAAGAAATTGTCTTACGGAGACAAGAAAAAACTTATATTTTCCTGGTTTATACTCACGTATTTACTTTGCTCGGATTTTTAGGTATTTGAATTTAGTTCGCAAACTTCAAAAAACATATCGCATGGAACCTGCAGGCAGTCATGGTGTCTGGAGTTTAGATGACTATCAATTTGTACCTTTCATATGGGGAAGTGCGCAGTTCATAGGTAAAATTATTTGTAATGATAATTAAAAATTATCTCAGTTTTAAGATATAGTTTCGTCCATCTGAGAAACATTGTCTGGTACCTTATAACTGTGTTCTGCAGTTTTACACTATTGCTGTTAGATTTTCTGTTCTTCCTTCATTTCCTCTGTAAGAACAACATCTACCAAAGTTGAAGGTGTGAAAGATACCATAAAATATTACCAAATCTGGACTACCTCCTAAAATTGTTCAATAAATTTTAATACTTGCTTGTAATTCATTAACCTCTGTACTATTGATCATTGAAAATAATCTAAAAATTTTCTTTAGCCTCTATTTTTTTCTCTAAAACTCAGCAAATTAGTGAAAAGAGACAGCTCGCACAGTGCAACAACAAAAGAAATATAAATGAGCTTTTGTATAGTTGTATGTATGCTTTACTTAGTTGCTCTTTTACTCTTTTTTAAACAGGAAAGCCAATTATTGAACCAAGTATGTTCCTTCAAGATGAAATAGTGAACAAATTGCATCAGGAATATATGTTCATAGGCTGTATTAAGTATATAACAGAGGTAAGAATTCAAAAGTCCAGTTATTATACTTTTTTTTAAAAAAATATGATCTGCTTAATTTACTTCTTTGCAATGATATCATTACCCTCTGGTCAAAATATCACAAGCTTTATTCACACTTAGATGCTATACTGCTAGACATCTCAATATTATATTAATTTCTTCCTCAAAACTTTGGCACACATTTTCATGAAAATTCCTGAGACTAATTTGATTGACAAAAGAAATACTAGGGAAAATTTTCAAATTATTCTGCTCATTAGTTTTTCTAATAAAAATTGAACAAATTTGGTAACATAGTGCCCAAGCACCAATGGCGCTTGTGATGTTTTGACCAGATGGTGGCAAGCAATACTCTTTTCTTCATTACTTGTTGGCATGGGAAGAAAATGTAAAACTCATTCAATCAGTAGTATGTTAGAAACCAAACTCATATGTATTTTGGTACAAAAAATGACAGTTGAATTGGACTGTATTTTACAATGAGGGACTATTATTTCTGGCTTGATCATACAAGCATTTCTCTGCTCCGGAAAACTAACGGTACATAATATGTTGCCTAAAATTAGCCAAAGATTTTAGCTCTAATTGCAGAATGTTGTCCATTTCATCTGGAGGTACTAGGTAAAATATTACCCATCCTTATTTATGCTCCCTGCTATTATTTGTGGTAGAATCAACCATAATTAACTGGTTTTTTTTTCGTATTTTGTATCCCTATAGCCTCTAATTTTGAATAATAAATGAATTGTGCCTTTCATACTATTTGATCGATTGAATATTTAGGATTATTTAAATATAAAATTCTTTGATTTGCTCGTAGGTCAAAACTGGTCATTTTGCAGAACACTCAAATCAGTTGTGGAACATAAGTGGACTCACCACGTGGACTAAAGTTAATCAAGGTCTTATCAAAATGTATGATGGAGAGGTATGTGTATTTGTGGACATTATTTTCAAAGAAACTCGTTGTCTGAGCTTTCGCAGTTTTGGACAATTTTGTGTATTTTTTATCACAAGAGCACAGAGAATATGGCAGGTTTTGGTAGTGGCCTGTACTAACTCTTGTTTTAATTTTTCGCCCCAAAAATATTTAGCCTGCACCATGCATACAATAGCATTTCCAAAGTGTCACATTTTGTCTGAAAATTTCCTCCAAATCTGTTTTTCATTTTGTGCCTCCATCTGTAAATCCAGAAAAAAAATCTGAAAAAAAAAAAAATCTCTAAAAATCTGTACATATTTTAAGAGGAATACCTATCATGACTAAGCTTCAATCTTTTTCCTTCTCACAGAAAATGAATCTTTGCTGCTCCAAAAAAATGTAAAAGGGATGTTTTTATTCTTGTCAAGTTATTTTTTATCATAATGTACATACATTTTGATGGTTAAGGCACAAAACTGCCTACCTGCAAACTCTGACGATTTTGCAGGACAAAGAAGAAACTTCGCCATTCTTGAAACTTTGCGGTTGGATTTGCAATTTTTTTTCTTTCTCTTTTTACATTACAGCGTTATTACAGTGCTCCCATGCGGAATTGCAAAAAACTAAAAACATCAGCTTGCGTATTTAATACTGAGGAATGCAGTTAAGACAGTAACTCATTTTCGCCAAAATTGTCAGTCAGGTGGTATTGTTCTTCAGCTTTCGATTTGAAGATTTATTACAACAGATGTAGTTCCAAGTTCTCAGTTAGTTGTTATTTTCATTGAATTTTGACCTTCCCAAGAGGCCCTACCATTGTTGGGCCTTTAAAAACATGAACTTGGCCTCAAACACCTTTATTTTTTCATGATTCTTGATGCTTTGTCGCACAGTTAGTTTAGTTGCCTGGCCGACTCAAACACAAATAAGGTCGCGGATTTTCACTTCCTGAGTGTGTCAGTTACCACCATGTTTTTACGGCATCCATTCCTGTTAAAGGCAAAATAATTACTACTCTAATCTTGTTCCTTTATTTATGCTTCTCTATTTATCATTAGTGGCTTATAAATTGCTGACTATTGCTTATTGCCTGCAACATATTTGCTATGTTGTCCAGATTTTGTTTTTGGTGATTTCCACTTTTCTTAAAAAATGAAGCAAGGGACCACTAAACAAGGTAGGAATTGAAGCATTATGATACATATTTTTGACTCAAAATTTCATAAGGAATTTGATTCAGGTAACGAAAAAAGCATAAAATAGCTCCTAAACAAACTATTTCTGTTTTAAATTTGCATTGGGTACAGGAAATTTAAATTGCTACACAAGAAAAACAATACGCTATGTGAGTCAAATCGCACACTACAACGCTCATGGCAAGCTTTTCAATCAAAAAGTGCTCTTTCCCTACATCGGCTTGTTTAGAGTTTGAAAAACATGCAAAAACTGAGCCAAAGGGCCAAAATTGAGGGTGTCATATTTTTATGCTGCATAGACTATCATGGCAATTTTCAGCACGTAATTCAACTCTTGAAGAGTTTTGTTGTTTCCTAAGCGGGAAGTTTAAATTCACGCATCAAAAATCATTAAATATCCTTGTTAGGAGTTAATTTTAGAAATTTTCCTCCGAATCATGTTCCACATGAAATTTTAATTTGGAAACAGGCGGCCAAATGCCTCAATTTGTATGTAGTTCAGTGGTCCATTCAGCAATAATACAGAGATCTTATGTTAACACCTGGTTTTAGGATCAATAAGTATGATCTTTATGAAGATTCTGTTCTGAAGTAGCTGCATCACTGAGAAATGTGCACAAATCTTATTAATGGCCCTGTTGAAGAGTAAGTTACAACGTCTGGAAAGAACTTACTTTTTTTTTTCATCGATGTAAAAACCTTTTTTCTCGTTATGAAAAAATGGAATTTACTGATCGTGTGAAGTTGCCCAAGACTTAAAGAGTGAGCATGTTTAGAGGAAAAGTGGTTATTGTAAATCCCTTAGTTTCATTAGGAAGCAAACTACAGCTAAGAATGTACAGTCAAACCTCACCAAGTCTGAAATTCCGATAACTTTGTAATATCAGCTTCGTCCCGTTTTTTTAGTTCGCCAGTATTAAGTCTGTTTTATACGGAAATCCTACCTAGTCAGAATGAACCCTTGGTCTAGATGCATTCCAATTTAGTAAGGTACAACTTAAGCCGTGTGCTATGCAACAAGTAATTCATGTTATAATTTTTTTTTTAGGTATTGAGGAAATTTCCCGTAATCCAGCATGTTTTATTTGGGTCAATCTTGCGATTCCAAGCATGTGAAAAGGCAAAATTTGCTCTTCCAATGCAGCGGAAACCATCAGCACCATTCAGTGTCTCCACATTGCAGCTTACTAGGGAAGCTGTTCTCTCACGGTCTCAATCAGATGCAGATGCATCGAATAAAGAACCAGGTAACAACCCACCTGTTTCTGTCAATGAAGCTAGGATAAGCAAAAGCCCTGACAACCAAATCAACTGATCAGTTTCGTTGTTTTCTTTTTGCAAAGCAAAATCAGGATAACTACTAAAAAATATGAAGCTGAAGTATGAAATATTCAGTCTGTCAACTATATCATTCATCATACTTACTATCATTTATTTTTCTACTCCAAATTAGGTTTTGAATGAGGCCGGTTTCAAAAATCTGATGTTGTATGGTATTTCAATTCAATAATTGACTTCAAGCCCAATCGACAACAAAAGTCAACAGTTTTGGGATATTATAACTTGCCAAACTGGAATGTTTTGAATGAAGAATTCGAAAATACATGGAACTAAAAAGTTGAATCATAGATAATTTTATGATAACTTTACCAATCAAAGTATGCATCTACTTCAGAGAGGAGACAAGGAGATCACCTCAATTACCCCATTTGAGTTTGATTGGACTGAAATTGCTATTCTTAAATTAATAATTGTGTGTGATGAATTCTAATCCTAATCACGAATATATAGTTCTAACTTTGCCTAATTTTTCAAACACAGAACTTATTGTTTAAGTCTAAAAATAACCAAGTTTCGAATGTTATTTTATTACTCCTAAAATAAAAAATAAAAAGATAAACCATTGACAATTTAAAAAAATTGGATGGGTCAAATGCCTCTCAGTAGTGAGTATTTGAGTGAGTTCAAACCTCGGTGCCCCACCTTCAATCACTATCTTATTAGGAAAAGCTGAGCTAAATAAAATATTTATCATTCCATCTCTCAAAATTTTATCAAAAATCATTACACTGCAAGCAAACCGCAAGTACATGTAACTGGTTCAGTATACTATTTAGTGCTGCACAATCTTGTTTTTCTATTTTCTAAATTATTTGATGAATAATCATAATTATGAGTATTATTGTGATTAACTCCATTATTCTAATCATGATACATAAATTAAAATATCCTCAGTTGCATACTGGGACAAAAAACAAAGACAATTTTTACTTGTGATGTAAAGATAATTTACGTTAAATTTTTTTCCATCCCCATTTCTTTTATTCTTAAAGATAATAGGAAACCAATTTAAATGTTTTGAAAGGTTTTCCATTTTTATCAGGACTCATTTTGATGTTTTCTTAGAAAATTTTTGTTGCCTTTTCTTTCTGATCTTCTGGTTATTTTCCTTTTTTTAAATGACGATGGCCACTTCAGGATCGGAATCAGATCTTCTGATCACTCCATGGGTTCTAATTGGCGCATGAAACTACTCCGTGACCCAGGCCGCCCTCCTAATTAGTACCAGTAATGCTCTTTACGTTCCTCTTGATAATAACCCACTGTTTTGCTATATGAGTGTAAATATAGTGCGTCATCAGTTTTAGTTTTTATTTCAAAATCGGTTGTATCGTGAGACAAGTAGAAACCATGAGGTGATCAGAAGACCTGATGATGGGATACTCAAATCCAGGAATGGCCATTGTCATTTAAAGAAGAAAAATAACCAGGAGATCAGAAAGAAAAGGTAAAAACAAAAATTTTCTAAGAAAACATCGATTTAAATGTCTCAAAATAATTTTATTTTGCTTTTTCCCCCTGTTTATCTATAAAGGATAATATCTACTAAATCCTATTTGCCGAATTTAATATTAAATTTTTTCAAGTTTTGCCAAGTACAAATGTTGCCAAATTTCGAAACTTGACAGTTTCTATCTTCTTTCTCTGAAAACTTCAGTGGTAACTTTTGCAAGTTGGCTACACAATTTTATTTTGATTTAAATCCCTTATAATTATCAATTTTACGTGAGACTGCCCGCCACACTAATAATGGATTCTTTTAAGTACATCTACGTAGAGCAAAAAAAGCATTGCCAGCTTGCAAGAATCACCGCCGAGAAACTCGCATTTCTCTGACAGAAAAATTACAGAGGACATAAAGAAACAAAATTACACAGAAACTTTAGAAAAAAATCCCTTTTCTTTAAGTCAATCAACTACAGAAATAAGCATTATGTAATTCAATAGTTTCATCTGTTTCCGTTATTCATTGATGCAAATTTTACAAGCAATATTCTCTTCTTCTAATATGCTTCCTAAAATTATCGGGTGCTCCACTTTAGTGCATCTTCTTCTTTTAATTTATTCGTTTTACGGCAAAGTCGTCAATATGTTTTCTTTTCTTTTGAATGAATTTCACCTTTTATTTTGAAATATTTGATTTATGTAGATGAACTTGTCAGCTAGTCATTTTTCTCCCTAAGAATATTACATTTTTTTCTAAAGTAAAAACTTTCATACTTCTCTGTTGCTCTTCCCTCTCCTGTTCCATGAAACTCAAAGTTGAACAGCTATTTTTTCAGGGCCCAAGCACCAAAATTCAACTCTCGATAAGGGCAGAAAAAAGTGTGCCATTTGGCCTTCATTCAATCCATCAAGCCCAGTTTCAATAGGTAATCTGCAGTCAAAGACATTTTTTAGGCTCAAAAGATCAAGGGCATGTTATATGGCAGTTTCCTCCACTTTTCTCGAAACTTGCGTTTTGGCGCTTTGACCCATGAGAAAAATATCCGGTTCAATTCTGCTCTTTCTGTTTCCTCAATATCTGTCAGAACTCAGAGCCCCTTCCTCAGTCTGGAACGTGCACATTTTTTTACGCTAGTTAGGGTCTCGAATGAAAGGTCGTTTGAGGTCTTTGTCACTTGGCATACAGTTTTAAAGATATATGCTACCATTATTCTTTCAATTTTTAAGTTTAAAATACTTGGACAAGTCTCAAACAGTGCATGAAGAATTAGACATGCACCTGCAAGACAACGTGTGAAAAGAGAATTAATCACCGAATTTAAGCCCAAAATGAATAAATCGCAAGGAATGATTTGTGAATTCTATTTTCTGCTTCGCACGGGTATTATTTTAAGATGAAGGATGTTGAATCTATTCTCTTTAAGAACAAATCAACTCCCTCAAGGTAGCCTTGAGTTCTACTTTGAGTTTGAAACATACTGTGGAACTACAGTTGAAGTTTATTGATTTTCTCTCTTCAGACTAAAAATTATTACTTTCATGTTGAAACGATTTCTCATATTCCAATTTTGATTGATGTTGGCCGAAAATTAGTAGATTGGTAAATTTATTTCAAGTAGAATTCAAGCTAGAGTACAGTCAAACTACTTTTTGCTAATATGAACCATTATTTCCAGCTGTGAAGTACACGAAACATTTATGAGGTTGGTGACAGTCGGTTAAAGTTTGGTATCTGTTTGTAGATTTTTTATCTCCACAAAACACACACACAAAAAACATTGTAACCAGTGGTTATTGGTTAATTTGCTACAAAACCTCCAAAATCCTCCATCTGAGTTTTTTCCCAAACCCATCAAGTACAAAAAATAAATCTGTTTAAATGAGTTTATCTTGTGGTGAAAATAAGACGTTTTAAAAGGAACACTTTGACTCAGATCTTTTCATCGCCGCAATTCTTTAAGGGTGGTAAATTTTGCAAAAATACTTAATCTCCAGTAGGTAATTAAGGCAATCGAAGTTCTTTGTAAAAGAGAAAAAAATCTCACAAAACCGTGGAACATTAGTCCTGGGATTTTCCTTAGCTGAGTGAACACTGTGAGGGACTAATACTTTTCCCGAGTGAATTCAACTCAAACTACAAACTCAGGTTTGGAAACTGAGGTTTCTAAAATGGAACAATTATCCTCCATCCATTTTCTTAATTGAAAAACTGTCTCATTACAATTGTCTAAAAAAACTCTCACTCTTAGAACTTGAACAAGATGTAAGACGATGTGTTGAATAATACATTGGAAAAACGAGTGTGATGTCTATGAAATTCAAAATCTTATTCACCAGAAACTTTTTTGTTTTTCGGTGTGGCAAATGGTGTAATTTTTTCAACTACATATCCATTTTTGTCTGTAAGTTTATTCAATCTCATCTCTGTTTCCTGTTTTACCCTACATATATTTCAGCACTAAAATAAGGAGTGAAAAATGTAAATTCAATACGGTAACAAAAAATATTTATTGAAATAAAATTCTCTTCGGCTTGAAATCATACATCTAATGAGGTAAAATTTAAAATTTTCAAAAACATAACATTAAAAATTTAAACTGAATGGGCCTGTTGCAAACTTTTGCTAGAGCAAAACTAAGAGTTGTTTCTTATAGATAATGCCTCAAAAATCACGATGAGCGCATCGGCAAACTCTGAAATGCACTCATAACTCCACAATCTGCGTAAGAAATTTGCGGTTTTTTAAGCTTCCCGCTTCAAAAACGATACTACGGCACAGGTGAACATTTTGTAAGAGGAGTCGTTCCATCGTCGGCAATAATCATCATAGCCGACGCCAATCCGCCAAAACACGTTTGATGGGACGAGATAACACCTGAAGTGGATTAGACCAGATAACAATCGGTGTGTTAACGTTCATATTTTCCACGCCCGAATTGATTGACCTTGAACTCTCCTTGAATTACGCGCGGATCTGCGTGCAAGCGTCGGCCATGATGAATATCGCCGACGATGGAGCGACTCCTCTAACAAAATGTTCACCTGTGCCGTAGTATCGTTTTTGAAGCGGGAAGCTTAAAAAAACGCAAATTTCTTACGCAGATTGTGAAGTTATGAGTGCATTTCAGACTTTGCCGATGCGCTCATCGTGATTTTTGAGGCATTATCTACAAGAAACAACTCTTATTTTTGCTCTAGCAAAAGTTTGCAACAGGCCCATTCATAGAAATAATTGCAGGTATAAAATCTGCACTGAAAAAATTTACTGATTAACATTTCATAAAATTTCCTCTCTCACATTTCTCAAATTATGAAATATGTAGGTAAATTGCTAAATAAATATTTTCTAGGAAATAATTTTTTAAGCTTTGGTAACTTCCATTCAATGGGATGGTTAATTAAATAAAAAACGTAACCACAAAGACAAACTGTACGAGATGTAGATAAGTTAACCCTCTATGCCCTGGTGTAACGATTTCGTTACTACGCATTGTTTGGTTTTTTAAGAATAGAACCATTCCTCTGTGGCATAATGTTGCTAAGTTGTATCAATGTTTTCGATTTTGAAGACATGGAAACTAAAATTTAGAAATTTTGAGAACAAGAATGGGAACTTAATGTTTTCACAAAAGCTACAGCATAAATTTGTGTCCCATAGAATACAAAATCCAAATTAAATTTATGCCATTGAGGGTTGAAAGGAAATTTTTTTTAATTTACTCCTGTTTTGCACACCTTCCTATAACAATTTCTACTTTGTACTAGTTTTGAGCATTCATTTTCAGCAGTAATTGCGACTGTCAGTAATTGTCTCTTAATGATCGTTGATGATGAGCTACATGCTTGAAACTGGTCTGAAGTAAAAATTGTTTCAAAAAGAATTTTAATGTGCGATTGAGTTGAAAATTATATATTTTTTTTGTTTACATTAATTATTAAAACTTGTTTTTCCTGTATATTTTCAATTCCTCTTTGTAAGCATACTTACTCGAGTGACACTGAAAAATTTGGACTCAAATTTCTTTAAATACATAAGTTGAATGCATGAAAAACAAGGAAAACTATCAATTAAGTCTTTCTATCTTGGATTAAGTAAAATAAATAAAGTTGATTTAACAAATAGATTTTAAAAAAAATGTGTTGGATCTAAAATTATCTGAACACCACTATAAAGGGAGGATTCATTTAGTCAGTTCCACTGGAAGTATCAACTCTTTTGAAGGAAGTGTTCCTTTCCCTCAACGGCCGCCTTCTTACTCTCTTTCTTTTTTGGATCGTACTTTCATCGCTGAATGTAAGGGAGGAAAGTGACTGCGAGTTCTTCAAAGAACTTGAACTACCGGGATAGTGTCGAGTTTTTTCTTTTTCATACAGTTTTGTAATAGCATCTTTATTCGAAAATACATTTTTCATTTCCTTAAAATGTTCACGACTAATTATATCTTGATTGTTGGAAGATCCAGTTGATGTGGAGTTGCTTGTATCGATAGGACTTTTAACGTCTGCAAAAACAAGTTCATCACTATCTTTTTCCTTAACAATCTTTGATGTCCCTGCCGGTTCACAATCCATTGGGTGACGGTGAGAATTTTTCTTTATGCTTTTATATTGACCATCATTGTATTTGTTCTCGTTCGTAGAATATTTTCTCCTTTTGAACTGTTTTGTTTCTGTCGAATCACTTGAAGAGAATGGTGAGTTTCCCTCTTCTTCCTGAATATTGTGTGTTGGAAGATTAGCAGTTGAGTTGGTGTATTCTGAAGAAAATCCTTTCTGTAAGTTTTCGTACAATTTTATCACATTATCCTCATCTCTATGCTCTTCAAATGCATCCATTTTTAGTTTTTGGTAATTTTTCTCCAAAAATTTCTCAAAAGGATCAATTTTTTCGGCCGTTTTCTGCAACTTGGAGACTCTCGCTTGATCAATGATTGATGGTACAAACGACAAAATTGATTCTCTATCGTCGCTTGAGGCATCCTTTTCTGATGCGTCAAAAGTTCTTTGTTCGCTCTCTACCAATGTTGTGGAGGAGTAGTGCCCATTTTCTGAGCCTTCGGAAGAAGAGCTACTCTCAGTCTCTAGACTCAACATCTCAAAATTATTTCTCACATTATCCTCATCTCTATGCTCTTTAAATGCATCCATTATTAGTTTTTGGTAATTTTTCTCATGAAATTTCTCAAAAGGATCAATTTGTTCGGCCGTTTGCTGCAACTTGGAGACTCTCGCTTGATCAATGATTGATGGTACAAACGACAAAATTGATTCTCTATCGTCGCTTGAGGCATCCTTTTCTGATGCGTCAAAAGTTCTTTGTTCGCTCTCTACCAATGTTGTGGAGGAGTAGTGCCCATTTTCTGAGCCTTTGGAAGAAGAGCTACTCTCAGTCTCTGGACTCAACACCTCAAATTTCTTTTTATTTTGTTGCACTGTTTTATTTATTTGTGCACTTCTCTCTGAATGATGGCTATTCAAAGCCTCTTGGCTGATTTGGCCGTTGATAACATTATCAAAATCTTCAAAGTCAGTTGCAGCTCCCAAAGATTTGAAGAAGCTTTTTTCTGAAACTATAGGAGATAGAGTACTTTCGAATCCTGCCAGATGCGTGCCATTTCTATCAACATTTTTCTTTTTACTCATTGGACTTGCAGATTCTACTCCTAACATCTTATTGAGAGAATGCAATATACTTGAAGGTGGTATCTGATCATTGATATCTTCAGAGGTTTTTTGTCCTCTAGGTGTCTGGTCTGGGGTACTTG